GTAAAAATCATATATATTAAGAGTACCTACTTGCTTTGTAATTGATCATTATCATGTTGAAGCTGTTGTATATCTCCTTTTGCCTGACGTTCCCCATTCATCAGTGTATTAATTTGCGATCGTAGTTCTTGCTCCACTTGTCGACTGGATTGTAAATCTGACTTCAAGCGTTTAATATCTGCCTCAAGCCTGCGACACACCAGTAACCTATTTGAACGACATTGAATTATGCCTAAGAAACAGGCAGCGCAAAGAAACATGTATACTACGCGTTTCATTTATTATAGAAGTAGCTAAACTTTTTCATAATTAAGACCTAAATATTATAGACATATAAAAAGTATTAAATTAAAGTTAATACTTAAAATATACATATCGTTATATTGTTATAATTATTTTGCAATAACGGAAAACTAAATTAAACATATTAATAAATGGAATTAATGACAAATTTGTCGTAAAATTATAGATATAAATAAAATTTAAATAAAAGATTTAAATGATACCTTTGACAATATTCATCCTGTTGTTTCTGCTGCTCAGTTGTAGTATCACTAGCATTTTTTATTTTACGAGTATTACGTTCACGTTGAACATTAACATTCGAAGATGTCTCTCGATTTTCTTTTACATTATTCCATTTTCCTGTTACTGATCCATTAGATTGTGATCTTACATTTGAATGACCACAACCTCCACCTTTAACTGACTTGTCTTTGTCAATTTCATTTACATCAAAATCATTCACTGATCTGCATTATAAAACATTCCTTTTTCTGGTTTGTTTCTAAGCACATACTTTAATTTGGTTATAGTACAAATGTATACATTTATAACAAATTTCTTACCCGACTCTTTCAATAAACTGCACGTCGTTGTGAGATACTGTTGATCCATTTGTATGTATAAATCTTTTGTCACTTTTATCAGATTGTGATACATTTGTTATAGTATGTTTATTATGTTGATCTTCTTGTTTCTCACTTTTGTCTAAAGATTTTCTATGATTACTTTTCATAGTGGTACTTTGTGTCTGTAGCATAAACTGTGTACCATTTTGCAATCCACCATTTTGTACATTTGCTTCAACACAATTGTTTCCTGAAAACACATAAGATATATAATTACATATATGTAAAAAAATTCATTAAATTAAACATATACACAGGTGGTTCCCAAACTTTTCTATTCTCTACCTCCTCGCTGAATCCAGATTTTCACGACGCATACTTTGGGAACCACCGGCATAAACTGATATATAGCATATAACACTTAGAAATTAAATACAAACTACCTTTACTTTTTTCAGGACTTGGATTATATTGTGAATTTAATCTTTGCGATTGTGCCCTTATATGTTGCTCTAATGATGGATTAATATGCTGTACTTGTGACTGAATTTGCTGCAGACTTGTCTGTTGTTCTACCGGTAGAGCCTGCTGTAACAACTGCAGGTAGAACTCATTTTCCTTTGCAACATCTTTTTGTTTTCTCTAATAAAATGCAATATCATAATGAAGATATTTTATCTCATTGATTTAAACAGAACGATTGTATATATAACTAACCTGTCTCATTCTGTAACCAACATAACTCTTAAAACCAAAACCTAATGTAACTACAGGATAGCCAATGCTGGAAAAAAATAAAAATTCATGATATAAACAATATATATTTCATTGATTATTATATTCAATTTTAATTGCAACAATTTGTACAAGCAATAATTTTATTTGAATATTATATATAATAAATAAAAAATAAATCAGCTTACCAGTGTGCTGCGAATGGCCGACAGAGATCTAAGTGAAACGGCATATGCCGAAAATCTCTTAATCGAACTGCTGTTTCTATATACAGAAATAATAGCCACAGCATCACAGTTGGTAGGCACACTCCTTTATCTGTTGGATACATTTTTTTATATTACTTTTTTATAACATAATTAATATCATTTTTTTAAAATGGGATAAAGTAAAAAGAAAATAACAAACTTTCATAATTATATAATTTTTGTAATATATGTATACACACCTGTGTGCCAAACATATTGCACCCAAACATAAGTGCTGGCAGCAAAAAACAGCCAATGCACAGGGATGAAAAAGAAGCAAATCATATCGGATGTGAGTGCAATACAAATAAAAAACACAGAGAAGGCCTGAAAGAAAAAAAAATATAATTTCAATATAGTATATATTTTATGTTTTTTCTATTCATTTGATGTGGACGACTTATATTATTATACAAATATCTATACATTTTATCATATGTTACGCATATTACTATTATTACTTACACTACAATATTATCTTTTATTATAGAAATCCCATTTGTCAATAAGAATTAATTAATTTCCGAAGATCAAAAAAAGCGATTAGATATAAAATGTCTTCAACTTTAATGATGATTATGTTGATAATGATAATAATAATAATAATAATAATAATAATAATAATAATAATAATAATAATAATAATAATAATAATAGATTATTATATATTATTATTTGGTTACTTACCAAGCCTTGGTATTTAAAAGAATCGTAAACACTTCGGAGGAGAAGCCAGAAAGGCCATAAAAATTCAAAGCGGAATTCTAAAATGAAATCTGCTAAAATCACCATGGCCCATAGTAGAAGGAACTTCAGATAAAGCAAAGTACTGAAATGAAAATCATATATTATGAACATGGAGCTATGATAGCACACTAATATTATATATTGGTATATGTCAGTAAGTGTATACATGCGCATAATTCTCAGATAATCAAAAATATCTGATAAAATATTTAAACATTATTATATATATTTACACAAACCACACATTTTGCTAGAATCATAAGATTCCTTTATTTGTACATTNCAGATAATCAAAAATATCTGATAAAATATTTAAACATTATTATATATATTTACACAAACCACACATTTTGCTAGAATCATAAGATTCCTTTATTTATACATATTTTATATATGCTTCATCTCTCTTGCAATATTGAACAAAATATTATAAAAAATACATATCTTACATTTTATTGCGTTCATGTTGAAATGTACTATAAAACAGTAATATAAATACATTTTTCCATTTAAACAAATCAAAATGATATTAAAACAATGACTCTACAAAAATTTAAGAACATGATCATACTTTAACTTTTAAACTAGATAATTTTTGTTTATAATTATTGTTACATTTTTGATAGTTAACAACAAAATGACATCTATGCGCATGTATTTAACCAAACCTACTGATATATCGTAGATAATATAAATAAAGCTTAATTACTATATATTCTAAAAGCGTATTTTATAAAATGCATCTTTTAAGTAAAAATCTGTTGGTCATTTATCTTTCTACCACAATTTCAACTTAAATACCTATAGTCACCTGAAATTATTATTTTTTTATATTTCTATTTTGGATTTTGAATAATTTCTAATCTATAAAACAGTTTATATGCTTAATAATTGCATAATATTGTATGAATAGTTTATAATATAAATAGACATTATAAAACTTAACAAATAAGATCTGTTTATACGTAAAGCAAAAGAAAATGATACGTTTAGATACAAAAATAAATTTTAATTAATTCTTTATAAACTTTATATATAGTGTATGTGTATTATAATAACTATATTATGTCATAGGTGCTTAACTTGGTAGTGAATAGTCCTAATAATAAAGTGAGAAAAATAATACGATATTGTAACATAAACAAATACAATAGATCCATGTCATGTAAATCTTTCTTATGCCATATTGTAATAAACGAATTACATAATATGATAAAACTACAGCAATATATGAAATGACAAATAACAACTTAGGCCTTTTACAGAAACGTCTTCTATTAAAAACATTGATCAAGTTTGTGTTGTGAAACTTGAATATGTAATGTATATGTGATTGAACAAATGACGTTTTACAATATTACTTAAGAAATATCACTACACTTTAAGATCGTTCTATACTCTGGAAAAACAGGAACACATGGTTGAAGTTTAGTTAAATGTTAAGAGCCATGTAACACAGAAGGTTCCCAAAGCGAGCGCAAATCCAAAATCACCGTCCAGCAGGGTTGATAGATAAACGCATTTCACCGATAAAATATTTATCAGTAGTTTTAGGATTTGATAAGTTTGGATACGTTCTCTCACAGATATGATGATCAGATTTTTGGTTATTTTTAAGAACGGCCATTCCAATGTAGACGCATATGGCGGCGAAAATTTACCTTCCGTAAATCCCCTCGGTGAGCTTGTTACGTTTCAAGGGCCTCCGAAGCTTACCGAACTCGACATTTCTTCTCTTCATATTCTTCGACACTTTCACCACTACCAAGGCGACGTTATTCGCGGCGTGTAACAGAACGGAAAAAACCAGAAATCCTCCGGGAAGTCGTGAAAAAAACCCACTTTGTCTTTCTCTCTCTCTCTCTCTTTCTCTCGCGCGCGCGACTTCTATCAGTCTCTTTTGTTGTCATTCGTCTGTGGACAGATTCGAGGTCTCACGATGGTTTACCGAGCAGCTGATTGGTCATTATGATACATCGCGTTTTAAAATCCATTTACGATATTAATCGTTTCTAACGAAAACGTTTTAAAGGTGAAACGATCGATCGGACGAGATATCGGCACGTGTCAATATTGTCTAAATAAGCGCGGAGTCAGTGCACGAGATGTAACCAATTTTATATTATGATTTCTTTTCCTAATGGAGGGTTTCGCGTTCAAGCCTTTATCGATCGTAGATGTCTCCCGACTGTACCACACGACTCCATCGGCACTTTCCACTTACACCAACGGCGCTCTCTCTTGGCAACTAAATGTCTGTACAGTTGTTCCCTTTTCTCTTCCTTCTTCCTTTCGCAATTGCTCTATCGCTCTTACTGCAAGTAAATACCTCTCGTTGTCTCCCTTCTATCTCACCTCTAACTAATCGTTTCTCTTCTCTCCCCCAACTCTCTTTCTCTCTATTGCTCGTTTGACAGCTGCGTATCAGCTGTTTTCTTCCATGTTGGTGATCACAAGTGACAATACAATACAGTTGCTATTATGTTACGAACAACTCTAAACAACGCTAATTTAAAAAATAATCAATCAAATAACAACACTTGAAAACGATATAAAATATATATTATATTCAACCTTTTATTAAATACGATTATGGATTAGTCGATTTTTATTAAATGTATTTTTATTGGTACTACTGTAAGTATAGATTGTTTTAAGCTTTCATAGAGATTTTCGTTTTATTGATATCCATTTATTTTTTAGTTTGATCATTTCTTTCTAAGTATTTCAATTAGATTAGATAATTGGTATATCGATATATTTTTATTTCAGAAACATGGAAACATTTTAAAATATTTAAACATTATAACTTGACATTTCTATACATTCAAAAATGAATAAGAACATATCATATGTGTCTAACGTAAATCTAAAAGTAGTCTTCTATTTTATTTTAGAAATTATACTCATTGGAGTAGCTATTGGAACACAGTATGACGGTAATGTTACTTTCACGATATGGAATATATTTTGTATTGTGTCAATGCTTTTTATGATACATATTTTATGTGATTTAATGATACAATTCTGTAATTTATTCGATCCAAAGTTGAAATACTATGGGATACAACAATTAGAAGTGCCATTAAAATATGAAATTGCCATTGGAATATGTATTATTATATTTCTTTTTTCACAAATAATGAATGAAAGTTTTTGGTATATTTGGAGATACTATAATGTATCAAATATATGCTCTTATTGTTTTGTAAACATTCTGTTTAAAACACTGATCTTATCTCAACAAAATGTAGATATAGATATAAGTAGTATGAATGGACTTGATTATGGTACTGGAATGGCCTATAGTTACTACTATGGTTATTTGAGAATTATTTTACCATCTACTGGTACAGCAAGTAAAGGCATAATTGAAAAATTAGAGAATTTAGAAGATAGTCATAACATATCTATTTCAATCAAAAAATTATTTATTCTAATTCCATCTTCAACATATACATCTCCAGATTTAAAAGACTTTACAAATGGCTGGATGGAAAATGCAATAGAATTAGAAAAAGAAGTAAGAAATAGAGCTGGGATAAAAAATCGATCTTATCATAATAACGTATATAAGATTTATCCTGAAGGAAAAAAACCTTGTGTCAAACCAGAATATATAGCAGTTGAAGGTGCATCACCTTTGCAAACTATGTTTGAAGTACAAAAACATTTTCATCCGGAATCGGCAATGTATGCGAAGTATCGCAAACAAATAACACAAACATTTTATTTAAAATTAAAAGATATAATATATAATGATCCAGAATGCAGAGATTTATGTGAATTGATCTACTATGAAGATTACAATTCTGATGGAACTAAAGTAAATGTAGCAAAAATTATTCTTGAAAAGATATCAGAGCTGAAAAGTTTACAATAAACATATTAAGTTACACATTAAACTAATTTTATACAATATAATGTGAAACCAACTACTCTCTTCTAAATGAAAATGAAAAATATAAATATACTTGTTTCTAAATTGTAACAGATTTTATATTTTTTATATATGTGATACTGGAATTTTATAATATAATTATAATAATTTATAATGTTATAACATATTTTTGTAAAGTTTACTAATACATCGATAAAATTTAAATTACTTTTATTTTATATCCGGTTCTTCCATGCACCAAAAAAAATATGAAACTTGTAAAATTTGTTAAAAATATTATTTATTCATTGAAATTCTAAAGATTCAGGATATAAAATAATATCGATAGAATTTTGAAATAGAGCATTATCATAGTTACCGTTATTAATCGCTATTATCATTTTTTCTTATATAATTTTGCACTTTATAAATGTATTACAAAATATTTTACTTATTGCAAATATTCAATACTTCTCATATTCATTAGTTTATTAATAAACATTGTTACTTATCAAGATTTACGATCTACAACAAGATATTTTAAAATAACATTATTTATAATGTATCCTAAGAATCAATCGCACAATTTAAATGTTGGTAGTTATATTATCATGAGCACAGCCATAAATGGCTAGAAGATGAACACATTTAGAGCCACAATAATTGGATTACAAGTTCTTCCATTTTACATATCCATTTCAAATTGTTCTGGAGATTCTTCAATCGTTAATGCATCTAAAATATGAATATTATGATGTTGATGTACGGAAATATTGAAGTTTTATATATGAATGTATTGTATTTTTAAATTGTTTTCTTGAATGAGAACTGACCTTTAACAGGAGATATCTTAGTAGGTGTGGAAATAGTTGGCGTAACTTTCAAAAGATCCACAGGTATTGATGGTATATTCGGAGGAGTACGTGATATTGGTGAGTCTCGTAAATTCATCAAAAAAGCCCGTTCATAAACGATACGAGTACCTGTAAAATAATATTATCATTATCAAAGCTATCATTATAATCTAGATTACATTTACTATAAACTCTAAATTATTTTGTGTACATGCATGCTGTGTATATGTGCACTCTTCGTGTTAGGCTCAAAACTTTTTGACCCTCGTCATATATGTATATGTAAAAGGAAAGAAATTTAAATGATGCGTGTAACGTAAAAATTATAACATCTGCAAATTACATTTATTTTTACGATACGTAAATTATAACATTTCGATTGCAACACCGCAATGATCACAGACTGTTATTCTCTGCACCAGCGAGTATGCAACAAAATAAATACATTGCGTGTGTAAATACATTGAAATAATTTCTCGCGTCCTTGACTTAATGCACAACATATATATATAAGTATACTTACACGTGCGCGTTTATTACGGTGAAGATACTGTCCAAAATGATTTATCACGATCATAGGAATATACATAAATAATTTAAAATAAATAATGATAAATGGTAGGAAAGAAGAAAACAACTGATGCAATTTCTTTATCAGAATTCTTTTGAGTGTTCTTTTTTTGAATTCATTAAAAATAGAATGTTACCAAAAAATTAATCTTTGAATATTTTCTAATATAAAACAATATATATAAAATATTGGTAATTGCAAAAATACTTAACAAATTACAAACACAATTATATACAATACAATATGTCGAATATGAAGTTACATAATCGAAACATACAACATTATTATAATAAAGTTATAAACAAGTTTAATGTTTACCGTTTCTTTTTCTAATTTGAAATTGTAGTTTAAATTAAATTTTATTATCCTCATTTATTTTATTCCTTTACTTTTAAATCATTTCGGTAAATGTAACGTAAGGAAATATAAACGAATTTTATATTTGATATCGTATTTTGGCAAGCTGACAAGAAATAATTTAATTATGGCATCCAGGTAAGAAAGGTCGTTGTAATACAAATTTAAACAACAAATAGGCAAAATATGATTTTATGCGAACTAACATGAACATTTAAAAATATTAATTTTTATTACCATTTGATGTTAAACAAATTAACCATCGAAATATCGTCTAAATTGACATGAGAGATTTTAATCTGTTTATCGATTTATTTTTCTCATTGGAATTTCTCATTTAAATTCTTTGCTTTGGCGAATGAAGAAATAATTCAAGGACGCATAAAAATCACTGGAATGACCAAAAATTAAATTAAAACTTCTTTTATTACTTCAACAATATTTAGAATATTCACTTGTTTCTTTGTAATTTCTGAATATGAGTAGTAAATAAAATTTCATATATAATAATTATAAGTTATTTTATTCCAAATAAATAGACGTTTGATCTTTTATACTTAAAAAAAAAAAAGAAGAAAAGAATCAATGGCATGCTCTGTGTATAAATGTGACTAATCGATGATCGACCGATTGATCTGTCGGTAAAATAAACAAGTAAAATAATTCAAAAATAGAAAGTAACGACTTTACCTCCTGGAGTTGTGGAATAAAGTGTACCTCCTGGAGTGGATGAATAATTTGCTGGTAATTGTTTGGGATCGTCGATAATAATCCTCTTCGAAGGTATATTTTGACTTTGGGTAGCCTGCCTAGCAATCGGAGATGCTGACATTGTTTTTTTTCGTTTAATCGGTGTATTAATTTAAAATAAGAACAGTAATAGTAATAATAATAATAATAATAATAATCAAAACAAAAAGGTAAAGATCTTGACGAATCGCTGTTATTAATGATAAGAAATTCGCTGCGCAATATGCAAGAGTAACTTCAATACTACGTGGGTTATGGATTCTCTTATAGAACGTGGTTATCGATAACTATCTTCGCGTATCTTCGTTTTAATGCGCTTGCGATCGTGGATTACGCGTGTGGTACGTTTCGTTCTGCGTATCATGCGCTTCTCATAACCTAAAGATTAAGAGAGCACGATTGGAAAAACGGCGATGGCCGTTCAGAATGATAATGAACAAAGCAATAGCTATTCACCCAACACCAATGTACTTTTTTCTCTGCCTTAAAGTAAAAAAACTAAGATAGCATATTCCCAATAGCTCTTTATGCTCTTGTCTGATGGAAGTAGTAATCTAAAAAAATAGAAAAATTTCGCCATCTTCAAATATTACTGTTTGTTAATATCAATAATTTCCTTTTTAAGTGCTATTTCGGTCAAATTTGGTTAACGTTAATTAAATATTAATTCGATTAGCATTGTTACCAACAACAGAACATTTAATTATGTTTTGTTATATATGTCGTGTACTGAAAAATGTACAAAAAAATGAATGTTCGATTATTTATTTAAATTTCTATAATCTAAATAAATATATAAACGATATCTTTTAAATATGCCGCAAAAAAACTTGGACGTACCAAGATACGATCATATTTCTACTTCTGTCGTATATATGATGACAAGTATTCTATTCTGCTTTTTCCCTAGTTTTTCCAATCTAAACTTTTTGTCACTATAATACATTCTAGGGAAAACTTTAGAAAATTGTTTTTTTCTAAACAATTCCGAGCGCTCCAGAATCTATATTTTTATACACAGATAAATGTTTATATATTATATATTTAATAATAAAAAAGATCACTAATGTATGTTTTTACCATCCTTATATGAAATCATTTGTATCACAATATCAAATATATAATATTTTCATATTAATTTTGTTATCTTCATGAAGATACTTAATATGGATATCATATAGAGTGACGCAGTACCAGTTTATTGCGACACATCCGTACCAATAATATTTCGAGAAAACGATTCTGGCAAGAATTCCTCAAACATTATTGGTTTGGTGGTTTTTATTGTCCTATCACCAGACCCATCAAAACGTACAATGCATGCAATTTCGTATTGCAGAAAAAAAGGAAACGGTATTGGGGAAACCTCATCTCAAAAGGATCCTTAGGAACTGAAATTGGTCACATTTCTTCAAGCTTGTCACGAAATAATTGGTAATTGATCGGTTCAAGCCGTTGATCTGTGGAAAAGGCTTGCGTTGTGTGTCGTTTGTATCGCCGTCGAGACATAGTGGCGGCCGAGTAGCGTGTTATCGTGCGTGTTATAAAAGTACGCAGGACTTTTTGGAAAGTGTCATGCTTAAATATTATTATTTCCAAATTTTCTCGCATTATGCATAATTTTAATAAGAAAGAACGAGAGAGTGAAAGAAACTGAGAGATATATAGAAATATATGTAGAAAGATAGGGCAAGAAAGAAAGAGAGGGGGAGGGAGAGAGAAAGAGAGAGTGAGAGAGAGAGAGAAAGTGCGAGCACACGCGTACGAGAGAGACGGAGGGATTTCGTCCATAAGTATAGACAAAGACGCAAGTAACGCGTTATGGTTTGTCCTTTCGTTTATTCGCCAAGTGAGATTATTCTTTTTTAACATAGCTAAATATAAGAAAGTAAAAAAGAGGGAAATAAGAAGAGAGAAAAAGAAAGAAAGAGAGAGAGAGAAAGAGAAAAGGAAAAAGAGGGGGACAAAAGAAGCTGTGTCAATTCGCGAAATCGTGTTATGTGAATCCACTGAGCTGTCATAAATGTATACATTCTATATAGATTGCACGATCTATGGTCGGTTATTGGGCCGATTTACTAGAGACCAAAGTGATCGTATATACGCGCGGCCTGTGAATTGACATTATTAATCATCATCGTGCCGTGTATCGTGCGTCCATTGTCCTCCTTCTAAAAAAATCAGTGTTACACGTTCCTGTTCAACGCATAAGCGATCTTTTTTTTCGAACACTTACAGTAGGTTTAATTCTCGAAAATTCTGTCGTACAACTGCAGGTGGCTGTGTCAGCCGTATTACTTGACGCGAACGCGTTTCAGTGCTTAAAAGCATTACGTTTTTATATCAATTTATAACTACTAGAAAAGAGAAAAAAAAGGGGAAATAATAGAACATTTATACTTGATTGAGTATTGTCGGGAAAATATAGATATTGCACTACTGATTATGCATAAATCGTGAGGAAACTCAGTTCGTGAGCTGTCACGATTGCTTTTATACTTAATGTCACAAAGGAAGCACGAAAGGGGGAGTGTGTGTGTGTGTGTATGCATGCGTGAGCCAGTGAGCGCGTGTGTGTATATATGAAAACGACAGAGAGAATGTAAGAGAGAGAGGGAGAGAGAGAGAGAGAGAGAACGAGGAGTGAGAAAATTATCTCTCACTTGTGATACAAAAATCCTTTTTGACGTATAACAAATCACGTCTTTTTATCTTTCATGATCGTCAGTTTACAAGATATATATTAGCTAATTGGATATTTTGAATATCGATGACGCTTTGACGGGTGGTGACAAGTACTCAGGGCTGTAACAATTACTCGCGCATCGTTCTCCTCCTCTTTTATTCTTATATTTTGTCTCTGTTTTTCTTTAGCATTTTTCTAGTGTTGTCTCATTCTCCTCCCTCTACCATCTTCTCTGTTTCAACCATTTTTCGTTTCCCTACCTCTATCTTTCTGAGCTACTACTTGTCTTCCTCGTACTCTCTCTTATTCGTTCATTTACTACTGTGGTTCTCGCGTTTGGCGGTATATTTTCGTTTCTTTCTCTCTCTCTCTTTCTCTCTCTCTCTCGCTCTTTCTCTCTCTCTCTTTCTCTCTCTCTCTCGCTCTTTCTCTCTCTCGCTCTTTCTCTCTCTCTCTCTCTATAGATATATATATATCTCGTTCTTCGCTAACACGCTTTATAGGTGTGACGTATACATGTTCCTCCGTAATATTACATCCCTTTTTTTTCACGATAGCTGCAATGCATCGCTTTAACGGTTTTTCGTGGATTTTTTTTCCATAAGAATATCAATTTGTCCGATACTATTATCCAAGGTTACGAGGTGTCAATTACGTAGATAATTACTGCATGAGATTACACGTTTAGAAAAGACGGATCTTTCTTTTTTTCATTTCTGTGATACTTTTGTATCAAGTTATAGAGTAAGAGAGTTTGTTAAATAAGTAGAACGATAATATAATGAAATTTTTGTTTGTTAAAATCATTGAATACAACGTTTAATTTAATCAATTTCGTTTATTCTCTAACCGCTTTTTCATTTTCTTCTCTAGCTTTCGGTTTTATCAGTTGCAGTTTATCAATTGTAATATTATCAGAGAGAAAGGGAGGCGAATCTGTCAGAAACAGTAGAGACTAATTGAATAATGCAATTAACAATGGCTCTGCTTTAATGGACTAAAGATCGTTGTGTATTTTTTTTTATTTATATTGTTAGTCTCCTTTCTCCTTTGTTTTGTTTTTTTTTAACGTAAGTGATTGTTATTATTATAAGTGCATTCCTATAAAGTCTCTCTCGAATTTTAAGTACAAAGAATTAATTTAGAAGTTGTATCTGCATGCTCGTGTTAATTATATTTTATGCGATGTCATAGGTTAGATCCGATTGCGTTTACTTGAAAAAGTATGGTGCGTATGCTTGCATGTATGTAAAGGATGAATGATATGTAATGTTGACTCTTTATGCATTAAGATTTTCTTCTCTTTGGAATGTAAAGTTATAAAAACATATAAATTAAAATTTTTATTATCAAATATTATATTAATTCTTTCATTTACATAGTTAGAGATATATTCTATGTTCATATACTTGCTTATTTTTTATTTTATGTTATTTTTTTATTTGAATACTTTTCTAAACTTAATGCAAATATATAGAACTTCTGTAAAGACTACAGTACTATGCACGTTAATGAGTGCCTTATCTATTGCAAGTAAAGATCTAGTATAAATAGACGTTTATCTCTTGAAACAGTGTTTTAAAATGACAGTGAGTAGTCATGTATTTTTCTTGAAGTAAAGTTTCATACGAAGTTTCACATATAACGTTTCATATAAATTAATATTATATTTCTCTTCTACACTGTACTTTTAGGTATAGATGAAACGCACTTATATGATGTTTTTTGCTTTATTTTAAAGTGCAGCACAAGATTTTGGTCATAAGGCTAATACAGGCAACTTTTAATATTAAGATAAAATATTACAAAAATAAATTTGAATAATCCTTAAGCAAGATTTGTTTTTGCAATATTTTATTTTAAGATTTCATCTAATTTTTAAGTAATAGTATTCTTATGCATATTTTTTCTTATGTACAAAATACAAAGAAGAATGTGTCTAAAGAATATGTATATTAATTATTGTCTGTATACGTGTATAGATATAAATTTCTCTAAATATTTTATTTTGATTCCTATTTTCTCATATTTTAGGAGATCATGGCTAATCGGGGTACCGCTCAAAGGCCAAATGGTTCCACACAAGGAAAAATATGTCAGTTCAAACTAGTGTTACTAGGAGAATCTGCTGTTGGAAAATCAAGTTTGGTGCTTAGGTTTGTTAAAGGACAGTTCCATGAATATCAGGAAAGCACGATAGGTGGTAAGAAGGATCTTCAAAATATATTTCAATTCTATTAGATATTTGCTTGTATACATAATAAATTTTCTCGGTTTATTACCATTGGTCAGTTTTCATTTTACCATTAACTGGATAAATGTTTTTAAAATAAGTTGCATAGCTTTTATGGTATTAAAGATAGACTAGATAGAAAGATAATCAACAAGTTGCAAGATTCACGTTGTAGATGTGTTTGCGTGTTATTATAATTATATAGTTATATGTGGATAAAATGCAATGAAAATATAGCATCTCTTTGCTATATATTGTGTTAGAAAAATAGTAATATTTTTGTAGTATTGATAAACTAATTATAATCTTTTATTTGCTTCATTAATAATTTAATTTGCAGCTGCATTTTTAACGCAAACTGTATGTTTGGACGACACGACTGTAAAGTTTGAGATATGGGACACAGCAGGTCAAGAACGTTATCACAGTCTTGCACCAATGTATTATCGAGGTGCTCAGGCAGCAATTGTTGTGTATGATATTACAAATCAGGTATGTAAATGTGCTGTGCATTAAATGTTCTTTCTATATCAAGGTGGGCTAAAAATCCACAATTGGTATAAATGAGATTAAGAAGATAGAAAATCAAGAATAACGAATTCTCATTGGAGGCTTCATTTTTGAGTAAATTGTAACCAAAACAATTTGATACACATGTGCCTAACTGGTGATTAGGGTTATAGATTCACATTCTATATCTCTGATCTTATTTTTACTACGAATTATGACCCACCTTGTATACATATACAATATTTATTAATTATTACTGATATATTACATATTATAATCTGTATAGTGAAATACTCATTTCTTTGTAAATTATTTTATATTATTGACACATTTATAATACAATTCTATAATATTTTAAATTAAGTATTGATATTTTACTACAATATTGTTTATGATAAATTTTTTTTTAATATAAAATAGGACACATTTGTGCGTGCACAAACGTGGGTGAAAGAGTTACAACGGCAAGCCAGTCCAAGTATAGTTATAGCACTAGCAGGGAATAAAGCGGATCTCACAAACAAAAGAGTCGTTGAGTATGATGAAGCTCAAGCATATGCTGATGAAAATGGTCTATTATTTATGGAAACATCAGCCAAAACAGCAATGAATGTTAATGATATATTTTTAGCAATTGGTAAGCTTAAGAAGCATACTTTTAATGAAAACTGCAGTTCTTGTGAATATATGAAATGGAATTCAAATGTATAAAATAGTTTAAACACAACACACATATACATATATATTGATTATTAGAATTATAATAGTTTGATATTTTTACATATATAACAGAAAGAAGAAAAAATTATTTTGGCTTTGTATTTTGCAGCTAAAAAGCTTCCGAAAAATGAGCAGTCGGGAAGTGCAAGTACAAGTGGGCAAGGTCGTCGGCTAGTTGAATCAGAAGGGCAAAAAGCAGCAACCGGCAATTGCTGCAAGTGATTATCCAAATCTGTACGTGTTACATTTAATATTGGTATCTATGACAATGATAATTGGCTATTTTTAAACTATTTCTACAAAAAAGTAGAGTAATTATGCAACATTCAGTAATTGAAAATTTTTCAAAACTGAAATTACTATTACACGATACATCTATAAATTTTTATAAAGGAGAAACAGTTTATTAAAAGTTAGCCCGAATTTAATGTTATTTTCATTTCTAATAGTTCAGCATAAATAACAAATATTTTATTATTTTTCTTATTTCCAAAGCATATATTTCTAAATCTTCATTATTTGTTTATTCAGCAAAATATCAACCTTAGGTTGTATATTACATTGTACAAAAGATAAGATATCTCTGAATAATATATTTGCATTTAACATAGAACAGTATATGCTTAAAGGATATTGTATTGTTTGATGAAATAATTATATCATCTAATTGGTATGTCTGTATAATATTTACACAAGATGATGGAAGTTATATAAAAGGATATTAAAAATCTATGTTTATCTCTACTTTAAGAATTATTATTGATAAAATTTCATGGAATATCTTATGTAATATTCATATTATGCTATTTTTTTCTAAATGACAATCATTCCAATAGTTAATTAAACGTTTCTATTCTAGATAAATTCATTGACAGAAAAGCTGCTTATAGTGTCTGTTTTTTTAATCGTTCAACCAAATGTAATATATTGGTTAAACAATTATTATTTTCCTTATTCTATTGTAACAAGATATATATGTTTATAGTTCGATGATTTAAACTTCAATACTGTTCTACATTTTTATATCTATCTGATTGTGCCTTTTATTCTTCTTCAGTGCAGTCATCTTTGTATCCTACTTATAACAATACGTCATTATGAAATAATTTTTTGCAAATCTGTTGTCTGGTGACATCATTATGCAAAACATAAAAGCGTCAATCTTTCGCCAAAATTGATGTACTATGTTATATATAGAGTTTATTCTAATTTAATAAAAGAAAAAAAGTACATAGAAAAAGTTTAAAAGCTAGTTATGTTGATTCAAAGTGTTGATTTTCAATAGTAAATATACGAATGAAGGTAAAAAATGTTATAATTAAGACCGAACACACCATTTTATATATACATACTTGTGCAATCTTGTGTGGTGTATTTCTTTTGCCTTATCAAATTATTTTATGTTACATAAATTATTATTTAGTAATTCAGTTTAAAGTTTTTGTGTTAATAGTTATTTTCAACATTAGCAATGTGACGTGAACAATGCAGAGTGTAAAATTCAATTTTTCTGATGTATTAATTTTTATGTCACTTATGGGTGAATATTTTCTTATATTTCATAATATATAGATGTATTTCAAGTTTAGAACTGTTGATACAAATAATAATATTTATTCAATGAACACGTCGCATTTTTACATTCCATGTATGTCAAAATATGTTTACTTGTTAAAAAATTATTAAGCGTCTTAAATTTCATAAAAGCTTTAGAATAATTTTTTGTTTTCAGAAACTTTTTTTGTTAATTTAGGTAAGTTATGAATAGTTAGTGTGTAAAAAATATAGCTATTTATTGCAGATAATTTTATCAAATAATATATACACTTATATTAATTAAACAACAATATCATTATATTTATAAAAATTGGCTAATATAGAATCTTATTTTATTAATATAACGTTTCTTTACTTATTGAGAAATACAAAATACATTTAATAAATATGTATAATTAATGTATTATGAATAAAAAGTTCACTCGCAAGAATTTGTAATGCACATTTACAATAAAGCTAATAGAGCTTGATTAAGTGCATTTAACCATAACATCTCTATTTCTTTATTAAAGTCTATCTAATATATATATATAATTGAATAATTTGTTGCGCAGAAAGCATATTATTTATTTTTGATTACAGATATGTACTATATTCAACACAGATAAGTACATCATGAGTGTCTGCAATGATTTGAAAGGAATGTACACGAAGAGAAACCACTATAAGGAATGGGCGGTGAAATGTGCAACACGAACACTTGCTCGAGTGATTGACTAAAACGTGTGTCTCAATGTATTTGACGATATATCATCTATTTTGAGTATCAAATCTATTAAAAAGTGGTAAAACTCCCATTTGTTATTATAGTAGTAATGAGCGGTGTTCGTTAATGAAAATATATATATATATATATATATATATATATAAAAATATAAATATAAATATATTATAATATAAATCATATAAGAGCAAATATGATTTGTGTAATAAGTAATATTAATGGTAATGAATAATAACGATAACAATAATAATACATTTAACATATACAACATTTGATGAACTTTTGGCACGCAAGCATCTTGTAAGATATAGTACAGGCCATTCCTGCTGCTATAATTACTATGTATTTACTTTCTTAGATTGTAATGTGTATAACAGTTCTTGCTCTAAAACATATTGTATATTAATTTTATTGATAAATCATGATAAATTATGAATGATTATACAAAAAAAAAGAAAATAAACTTGTGAATATTATAATAATACACTGTCACTTATTTTTTTTATACAATTAGAAAGATTGTATCCACAAAGCCAATAAACTACAAAATAATCGACTTTTTGTCGTTTTAGTTACCATTGGCTGTTGCAATTAATAATTCGAATATAGTTTTTAACATTTTTTAGATCTTGTATAATTTGATTTTTTAAGAAATCTCCATGAAGTAATAGCAATATATAAACACACGTACAAAAATGTTAAAAGATAAAAGACGTAAACTTAAAAGTACTGGTGAATCTAATAAAGCAGAACATATAAAAAATGTCAGAAGAATATTTTTATCTGAACCATTTGTATCTATTGACTATAAAAATGTAATATTTCATCGAAAAATTAAATCTGAAACAATAATTGATTCTAATACAAATTATGACGATCTGTGCGGTCCTTGGTTTTACACGTATTATAAACCAGTGCATGTTTATTATGACCTATTAGTTCCTAAATTATGCATTTGGGAATTAATTTCATTTAAAGATACAGCTTATATAAAACAACATCAACAAGATAAAGATGTTATTTTATTATTTTTCAGTAAGTAAAACGTATGATAATGTTGTCACTATTATTTTTCAAACAATTCTTATAAATAAAAATTTAAAAAATCTTATATAACATTTTTGTTACATTACAGTAAATACATTTTCCAAACATATCTCTGAGGACAAAAACGATATTTTTCTAAAAATAGCTTGGGAAATTTTTGAGGTTACTAGGTGAATAAATTGATATATACTTTTATTTACCGTAATATAAGAATTAATACTTATAAATTTAAGTATATTGTTCTTGCATGTGTTTATCTTTCAGAGACAATTTATTTAGTATAAAATGCATTTGTGCATCAATAGGATTATTCTATTTAACGCATCGCTACTTTCTTTCCAATATATGGTATACAATGGAAAACACATATAACTTTTTTTTCAGTACTTTACTTTTATATACCACTTTGGTTAGTCATTTGTATTCATATTACGGATTAATTTTTTAAAAGAATCAAATTTAAATTATTTTATTCAGATGCATCTATATATGTATATTATATTATTTGTATTTAGGATCCACCTAAGTCTGATGAGGTATTTAATTTTGCCCAATGTGAGCTATTACTCGAAATCTTTCATACAATTTATATGGAAAATCTTGCATTACTCCGACTTACTTGCTTATCACATTATAATCTTAGAATAAGGCTAAATGCTACAACCAATTCTTTAGCAGCATGAGTTCATTACTTTTGTACTATTTACAAATGCATTGATAATTGAGCAAAATAAAGTAATTCTTTTTATATGATTAAGACAAATTATTATTAAAATATACAATCACGAAGATATATAAAAAAACAAATAGAGTATATTTCTATATATATTCTTTGCAAATTTCAATGGTATACAATATTAGTTATTACTCTATCTTATTATTCTATCATAAATCGATTTTATTCGACTATGCCATAATGACAGATTTTATGATATACTGTCATTTGCTTGCAGATGATTGATAACCACAATCTCGATTATCATCTACTCCACTATTATTCTTTGATAATTTATCAGCTATATTTGCATTCCACCATTGATTATTATTTTTCAATTGACTTGTTAAATATTCCATCTTAGGAAACCACCAAGAATTGCCAAACACTGAAGTGCGACGTATAGATTTAATCGGGCATGTAGAAGATTTCTTAAAATACAAGAAAAGGTTGAATTTTTTCCTGTTTAAAATTTTCTATCACAATTAACATTTTATAGTTTATATCTTTACATGCAATTTAATATATAACGTGAAATAAGTTATAATAATATTTAATATGATACATACACCATAGTTTTGAGTCAAATATGAATATCCAGCACTTTTAGTATTTTTTCCAATTGTTGTTCTATGTACTTTTTTCAATCTTTGTGTTAATATATTGTTCATTCTTCTTAGTTCTCTTATTTTTATTAGGAAAGTTCTAAAATTGAAATTTTTAATTAAATAATGTTTAAATGAAGTATTTACCTTCTAAGAAAATTGATTTTTAATTATAAATACGTTTGAATCTTTTCTAATAGATAATTACTTCTTTTCGTGTCCAAATTGTTGTTTTAATATTGTTAACTGCTGTTGTTTAATTTGTAACTTTGAAACAAGAGTTTCAACAAGTTGCCTTTGTTCTGCCATCCATGTACGAATACACGAGACCATATATTGGGATTCATTACAAAGTTCTGACCTATTTATTACTGTTTCAGTTAATTCTGCTGACACACACGCCAAAGACTTGTCTTTTGATTGACATTCTTTTTTCAACTCCGTCAAAGATTGGTGCATGTTATGTAACTATAAGCAGTTACACTTTTCAAAGTTATATTAGTCAAAATAGAAGTTAATATTTAGAAGAAATAGTAGATATATCTCACTTGATTTGTAAACTTGTAGTTGTCTTGTTCAAGTGAAGTGTTCTGTTGCACAAGAGTATAGTTTTCATCTATACATTCTTGTAATTGTTGAGTTAAATGACAACTGGAATTGTCCATTCTTTTGTATTTTTCTTGAAGTTCATAAAACTAATAATTTGATATAAAATAATAATATTGTTAGAAACATATTATTACACTGCTTAATTTAATATTGACTTACATCTTGTTGTACAGTTTTCAATTGATTGGCAAACGATGTACACATATTTTGTGTTTGGCAAAGTTCAATATTCTTTGAAGATAATTTTTTTTTAGTATCATTTGATTCTTCATTAAGTTTACATATTAAATTTTCCAATCTAGCAATTTTTCCTTCTAAATTTGAAAGCTTTGAGCAATACTCTTTCTCCTAAGACAAGTATATTTTTGAACGATCAAATATGTGTTTATGAAAATTAAAACGAATTAAGTATAATATTATAATTTATTACTGCAATTGTTAATGATTCTTGTAACTCTGCCTCTCGTCTTGCGGATTGAATCAAGTTGTCTTGAGCTTTATTATAATCTTCAGCTGCTTTATAATAATTTTTTTTCATAAAAGATAACTCCGTCTGAGTTTCCTTTAACTGCAATGGAAATGATGGTATATTATTATTTTCTTGTATACTTATAGAAAAGTAGAATTAAACATATAATTTATAAGTACTGATACCTTCTTCCTTAGTAAGTAAAAATCTTCTTTTGTTTTATTTTCCAATACAATGTTTTCTGTTTTTAAAATTGAATTCTCATTCTGTAAATATAGAAATGTAACATTACGATGTATACGAGACATATTACAATAAGATATATACATTTATAACTTTATAACATACTTTTAATACTTCATAATCTGCTTGTAATTTTGCCATGCTATCAGATTTTTCTTTGAGTAACATTTTTATTGATAAAAATCTTTCCTTAAAACTTGTATATTCGGATATGTATCGTCTGATTTGTTGTTCAGATGTATGCAATTTTTGTTGCAATTGGTCTATAGTCTGAATTTGCTTTTTTATTAATGATTCATTACAATCAATTTGCTGTTTTAGATTTTTTATCTATAAAATAATGCAATTAAAAGTATTAATATTTAATATGTAACTATTTGTACACTATATTGCATAAATAATGAAAGTGGTATAATATATACATAAGGAAAAAGAATTTGTTACATAAGACCGAAAATCCATACACTGAAAATGAAGTGACTACACTACATAGATATATAAAATTGGTCATATAATTATTAACGAATTTCTTCCTAATTTTAAATATATTAATTTATAAATTAACATTACTATTCTCTCTTCTTGTCTTGCTTCCAAATCGATTATATATTCCTTAAAATTAATCTCTTTTTGTTTAGCAATATTTAATTTTCCTATTATTTCTTCAAATTCTTTAGTTTGTTTTTCTAAACTTATCTTTAGATTCTGATTTTCAGATCTTAAACAGCATTCAAGATCTTTTATTTCTTGTTCTTTTATTTTTAATTCTTTTTTAAATGCAATTAAATCTAATTTATAGTTTTGTAGTTGTTTCTTTAAATTTTGATTTTCTCTTATTACAATTTCAGTCTGAGCTTGTGATTCATCATTTTGAAATGAATTTTCTATATATTCTTGTTTATCTATTATCGAAGAATCTTCTGAAGTATGCTTCGGTACAAGATTTTGTGTCATACAACTCTTGTGTGCAATATCTACTTTACATTGGATAAATTTATTTTCGTACATATTTTTTTCTTTCTTGTCCTCGGATAACATATTTCTGTAAAATTATATCATAATATAGTTTATTATTTTAAGCTAAAAATGTCATGAAAAAAGTAAAATCGATAAATTCTGTAATACTTTAATTCTTGCAGTTCCTGATTCGTTTCTTTCCACAATTTTTTTACAGAAATATACTTATTTTCCAAATGAATATTCGCTTGCATTAAAGTATTTATCTGTAAAATAATGAATATTTAAATGTTCAATTTAAAAAATGTACAATGAGACTTTTATGAACTTGTAAAAAAGAAAAACAGTTACCTTATATATTAAGGCTTGGAAATCATTTTTACAAAGCTTCAGTTGACCCTAAAATAATTAAATAAAATTATTTTCTTTATAAATATATAGTATATTATTGTAGTAATAGATAACTAAAATCTATTTATATACCTTACTACTATTAGATTTGTTATTCATAGTAATGATTTTTATAATAATAAATTTTAAACTAATAATGTATTTTGAAATGTCTCTATGTTAATAACTTTATAATTTATTTAAATCAGGGATACACACATACATTACATTATATTAGCATGAATCTTATTATTGCTATACCTGTACAGCACTTAATATAGAACAATATGTAGTATGTAAGGATGTAACTATTAAATGTTTATCATTAATCATGTATTCAATTTTCAATTGCAAAGTGTTTATGGCGTCTCGTTGCAATTCTAATAACTTTTCTTGTGCAGCAGCCTTCATTTAGGAAATAACATATTAATATTATAAATTTATAAAAATATTATTTTGAAAAATACTTTATATACAAAAATGCATAAAGATTAAAGTTAAGTATTAAACTTACTTCTGCGAAGCAGTTGCTATATTGACTTTGAGTTTCGTCAATAAACATTGTTAATAATTGAATAGTTTCATCTTTAACAAAAATCTGCAAGAAAGTTAACTTCCAGTCAATATTTTATCTATAGTTTTCAAAGTAGTAACCATTATAAAATTGTAAATATATATAATAAATATATATAAAATGTAATAAAAGCATAATAATTCAATAATTAGCGTAGTTTATAATATAGTTAGTTAAATGTCATACACTTATTTAATAAGCGTTTAAGAACTTATATATATTATTTGAAGTAATAAAGTGGATATAATTGTTGGATTAGAAGATCTTATAAATACACACCTTTTATGCAGATTGTAATGATATTTGTTAACGCATTGTTAACTTAGTGTTATATTCTAAATAAAATAATACATACCACATGCATCGCGAATATCATACCACACTGACTTAAACTTTTTGTAACACATCACGCTTATGCACTCACAATTAATTACCATTGCTATCTCCAGAAAGAGATAATAAAAGTTTTATATTTTCGTATTGAGTATAGCATTGAAAAATTTTTAAAAATTATCGTGTCAAAAAAAAATAAGGCTATTTAGAAATATCTCATTTATCGTTTTAATTATAATATTTGAAAAATATTTACAATAATAATTACCATTAGTACATACATACATAGTTATATGCTTCTTAGTATACTTTCAAATCATTGTTCAATATGTTCATAAAAGCAATTTAAACATCATGCACATTCCCGTGACTGAATGTTGAAGACGAAATCGAACTCCACAGTTCGTTCATATCACTTACTGCTTTATGCCCCATACTATCTAAACATCTTTTGGCTTCAACCACAGCATTTTGTAAATGTCCAATTGTCTGTGCTTGAAGTTCATTCTGTACAGGATACAAGAGATGCATGTAATATTAACTTTATAAATACATTATTATTTTCATAAATATAAATAATTCATAGACGTATGCATTAGTACAATTGATAGAGTACAAACCTGTTTCGATAATTCTTTTTTTTCCTTCTCAGATTGAGCTATAATAAAGTCCTGCATATTAATCTGAAAACAAAAGAAAAAAAAACCAATAAAATTGGTACTACATAATGTAGTATAAAGAAATTTATTTTTTACATACCTTCATTAATAACTCTTGGAAATAAAAATATATTACTTTGTGCTTCGTTCAATATTCATAATCACATTTTAAAAGCAAGACAGAATACCGCGAGTTAAAAAGTTTATGACAATTAATTTCAATTGACGAAGTGTATAACGAAAAATTTGGAGAAAAGATTTGCGTTGTAGATGTTATCTAGTGTTAGTGTATTTAAATATTTATGCATATCCAATATAATTTAATTAGTGTATGAAATTATTTCTTAAAATTATTTTTTTCTAACAAAATTTTTAATCTTAACTATAACTTATAAAATAACAAAAGCGTGTAACGTTTATAATGTTTTTGAGTTTTTTCATAATTATAAAAATGCAATTTTTTTATAAGACTTACCTTTTCCTGTTGTTTTTTATAGAGACTCTTAAGTTCATTTTGTGTTACTGCTATAGAATCATTTTGGATCATAACTACTTGGTTCATATTTTCTAACTGAAACAAAATGTATGCACATACATATTCACATATATTTACAGTATAATTTGAAACATATTGTTATTTATAACAATCGATTTTAATATATTACTATATTATATCAATTTTATACTTACAAGTTTATCTTTGGAACACAATGTATTTCTAAGATTTTCGATGTCTCCATAACATTTTTTTAATTGTCCTTCATATTTTCTTAATTTATCTATGATTGTCATTACCGAAGTTACTGTGGTACAAGGTTGAGCAGATCCTTCACGCACCTACAAATTATTTCTTTTAAATATTTGTTTGTATTTTTACAATATATTTTTTAAAATATAAATGTAATAATACGGTTCAATATTTTAGACGTGGTGCTAATAATACGAAATAATGGAAACATTCATTTGATTTAAACATACCAGCAGTTTAAGTTCGCATTCAACATCTTGAAGACCATTCTTTGTAGATTGTACTGCTTCTTGTAATATATTAACAAGCTGGGTTGTATTCTGGAAAAATTAAAAAGTTGTAGTTACAGACAATTAAGTATCTTATTTCTGTTATAAATTGATAATTGTTAAAAGTTATTACCTCTTGCCTAAATTGGTATCCACAACACATAGATAATTCTTCTGGACTACATTCTATATGCTTTTTTTATTAAATAAAAAACAATATATACTCATTATTTGTATATATATTATTTATATATGAGTAAGTCATTTAATAAGTAATGCTACTTCATTTTTTATGGGAAGTGCAAGATAAAATTCGTTTACAGACCCTTACTATACACACTTTCAACAAGATTCATAAATTTTTCCATTATAAGTCATCACAAAATGAATTTTGCCTTGCATTTACTATATTCCTATAAAAAATTCTCAAAAATAATATTCGTTTAAATAATTTTGTATATAAGAGGAAATCAAGTTCCATGCAATCTAAAAGTTTTCTTTTACGTCATATTGGCTGCTTTGAATACATTTTTTTTCAAACCATACTATTATCAAAACTGACTGTGATATTCCAACATGCAATTTCAAGAAGAACAAATAAGATGTTAATATATGCTTCTTACAAAAGGTTCCAAAAGTTTTCTTGACTTTTGAAGCTCTGTTTCACTGTTATCTAAACTTTGTCTTAATTTTGATTCTACTTCCTTTTGTATTTTGACCTGAAAGTATATAAAATATCAAATTTTTATTACATTACTGTTTTTTAAGTAATTTTTTTTTATAATATATGTTATTATATTAAGAAAAAGAAACTAAATTTATTACTTACTATATTTTCTAATTCTAAAATTTTTTTTTTGTACTCTATACTATCAACAGAATGGGAGCGTCTATAATTTTCTGCTTCCATTCTTACAGAAGATAATTCTTTCTCCATTGACTCAAGACTATTTTTCAGAATGTGATTGGCTTCTTGTTTACATTTAGTCTGAATATATAACAAATAATAAATGTAAAAATCAGTAATAAAATATGCTAATATAACACAGTATAACATTCAGCATTAAAAATAATTAAGAAAATGTTAAATTCATCACCTCATGATTTAAAATGCGAAGCTGTTCCTCCAAGTCTATTATGCGACATTTCCATTGATTTATGTTATCATCAGATTTTGCTTGACATGCCTTCTGTAAATTAAAAAATCAGAATTTCATTGCACATGCATTTTATTTTTAACACGATAAAAAAACGTAAAAATATATACATATATTTTCATACCCGTAACATTTTTTGCTTGTAATCATCATATTCCGTTCTTAATTTATGTATATCTTCCTTTGCTTTTAATAATTCATTAATTGGCTAGAATTTACATTATAGATATTAATTGCGAGAAAAAGTGTCCTTTTACAAAAGTTAAACTGAAAGTAATAATTAATTAATTGATACTAAAATGTATAAATTATGTACTACCTGACTTTGACTTTGTAAATCCGCTGAATGATCCATAAAATCTTCCTAAAAGAATGTTGTAGTATTTTATTATTGTAATACTTCATTATTATTGTTACTATTGCATAAAAACAATGTATTTGAAACCTGTTCTATCGTATTCCAGAAAGTTTCCAAAGTATCTTGCATCTTTGTATGTGCATTATCAATTTCTGCTTCAAGTCTTCCTAATTTTTTTTCTTTTTCACAAAGAATTGTTTCATCCATTTCATTATGTATTAACTAAAATAATTTGATTGAAGAACAAATATTGCAATAAATATATAAATGATTACAAAAATAATAATTCTTACAATTGCACTCATACGTTTCTGCAAATCTTGGAAGGAACACGCTGTACAGCAAAGTTGTTCTTTTAATTCTATTGAATTTGATGTAAGAAAACAATTCTAGAAAAATATGTATGTATAAAACATAAATATAGAGCATTGAATATTTAATTCATTTTGATTCAGCAACAATTTTTATTTACTAAATTGAAATAATGTTTACCTGATTTTGGAGTGCTTGAACATGATTATATACAAGTTCGACTTTATCAAGCATAAAGTTTAATAAATCATTGCATGTGTACATTTCTATGCATTCAGGTAGATTTTTATCCTAACAAATCAACGTGAAAAATGAAAAAGAATATTAATAAAAGTATAATGTTAAAAAATAGAGAACAATTTATTATATATATTAAAAATATTGTACCCTTGATTCTTTAATTTTTTCTTGTATATTATTTACATAATTAATTAATTCAGATTGGGCACGAATAAATTCATTTTGTACATTTTTTAGTTTTCCTTGCTCGATTGCAATTCGTTCAATATGTCTTGGTCTTTCTATTTCCTATACAATAAATCAAAAAGTATGGTTATAAAGAACATATATTATCTTTTAATGTAATATAATGTATAGACAATTTGATCTTACTTGTAATTCCAATGTATTAATAGTTTTTAATACTGTTTCTCGCAATTTTAATAATTGTTCTTGAGTCTCTCTGATCATTTTTTTTAATTCAGTGTACTAAGAATATTACAAATGAAATAAATTATTATATTTTGCAATACTTTTACAATTTATAGGTGAAACTAATAAGGAGAATCATTAACTGGTTCTCCTCAATTGCGATAAAAATTGATGTATATAATAGTACTACTCTTTATTTAGTCATTTACTTTTTTTTTTATCACATATGTGATCGGCAATATTTCTCATCTGTCAAAATGTTCTTACAAGTCGGTACATATCGTACACAGAAAATTTAAATTATTTTGAGAGTTAGGATGAGATTTTGTATCATGATTATCTAAAGTGTAATACTAATATGTACATCAATTTCTATCATGATTGAGGAAGACCAATTGGAGGGTACGTCTCTACTAACAATTTTATACAATTAATATAAGGATATACTTTTTGATGCTGAGCAGTGAATGAAGAAAGAATGGTACTAATTTCTTCACGAATATCTTCTGTTGCCGCTTGAGCTTCAACAGTACATACACGATATTCCTCCATTAATTTAAATTGTTGAGTAGTAATTGGATTTTGCTATGAAAAAAAATTAACAAAAAATAATAATAAATAATATAAGAAAAACAATAAAATAAATGTATAATACAAAAGATATCAAAGTTGAATAAAAACAATATATATAGTTTAATAATTATAGATAAAATTATAAAATACTTACAATAGTATCCTTTGACATTTCTGTGATACAATTATTCGTTCTACTTTGTATCTATAAAAATAAAATAATCAATGTATATTCACTATATATTTAACATTTAAAACATTATAGATATTTAATATTTGTACCTCATTTTGTTTATTTGTCTGAAATACAAAAATATAATGTAATTATATAAGTTTTCTTTGCTAGCATGCAATTGACTGTGCATACTATATTAAACCTTTGCATTCGAGAGGTTACTCTCGGTTAACAATACATGAATGGAAAACAACAATCTTAATACGTCATCGTAGTACGTCATACGGAAAATCTCGAGTTGCCGATTCGGCCAAGCGAAAAAGGCCTCAAATGCAAAGAGTTAAAATTTATATTGTATACAAAGCTATACGTACAGCATATTCTATAAACTCAATTGCTTTTTTTTTTTCTTTACATATTATGAAAATATTTTCAATATTCTTTATTAATTTCTCTGTTGTATCATGCATCCATGTATCCACACTTTTATCTGTATCATGCTTCTGGAATAAAAAGTATTGAAAATTCTCATTAAAAAATAATTAAAATTTGTTATTTAAAGTTATTAAAATATAATACATACAAGCTCTTCATTTTGCAATGCATCCTGCACGTATTTTAATTGGACATCAATATTTGCTATAGAATGTTGTATGGTTTCTTCAGTTTGTGACTGTAAAAAATATACTTCCTATGATCCAAATTGTTATTTATTTTCAATGGAACTTACAATGGAATTAATTTACAAAATTAAAAGTCAATAAACATTTTTCCTTGAAAAAGAATCAATGCATTATTGTGTTTATTATATTTATTCAATTGTAAATCGTTACAAAAGCACTGCATTACTTAGTATTATATAGTTAAGCATTTATGATATTAATTAATTTTGCTTTTATAATTAATGGATTCCTTATAAAACACACGAACTCTTCTCTTTATCACTCTACAATATTAGAAATACTGAAAAATGTTTATTAATTATAAGTGTAAGATAATAATATTTCATAATCAGATATAGACATGAACATTTATTTACTTGTTTAGTTTTAATTCAAGATTTATAATTTAAATATTATTGTAATATTTATATATAAATGCTTTTATGCATGTTATTTTAAAAAAATAATCTAACTTTACACTTTATATAATAATGAAAGTTTAAATGCATTAACTTACTTTATCATCTTTCGAAGTTTTTAAAATATTTAGAATTTTTTTAATATTCTGTATCTTTTTATAAGCAGTCGTAAAATTGTTCTCACACACACATGTCTGTAAATATATATTATCTCATTAAATTATAATATTATACTGATAAATAATTGAACATATTGAATTAATAAAAGCAATTTTATGGATCATTAAATTGATGTATACTTAGAAATATTGGGTTGGCAACTAAGTAATTGCCGATTTCATTTATAGACGTCTCTCACTCCCATTTTTATGATATTCTTAAATGTTATGATCTTCTTCTTCTTATATATGTTAGCTCTCATCCTTACCTAGCTTTAGAAGTTCATTGCGTAGATATTTTCTTAAAGATTTTTTTTACCTCAATATTAATATGGAGTGCAAAAACGAACATTTTTGCCATATTTTGCTTTATTATTTCCGTAAAGAAAAGAACGCTGGTGTATATGGTGATGTATATGGTGATGAAGCCCTTAAAGAAAGGCAATGCCGAAATTAGTTTGAAAAATTCCGTTCTGGAGATTTTTCTCTTAAAGATGACCAACGTTCAGGTCGAACAGTTGAGCTTAATGAGGATGGAATTAAAACCATTATCGAAGCGGATCGTCATGTAACTACACAAGAGATTGCAGGAAAGTTAAATGTTTTACATACAGCTATTGAGAAGCATTTCAAACCTGTCGGGCTTGTTAAGAAGCTAGATATTTTGGTTCCGCACGATTTGAAAAGGGTTCATCTGACAAAGCGCATCAATGCTTGCGATTTATTGCTTAAACGCAATGAATTCGATCCGTTTTTAAAACGAATCATCACTGGAGATGGAAAGTGGATTGTGTACAACAATGTCAATCGAAAACGATCGTGGTGCATGCCTAAAGAGTCATCGCAAACCACTTCAAAGGCAAATATCCAACAAAAGAAGATTTTGCTGTCAATTTGGTGGGATTAAAAAAATCCGGTGTATTTTGAGCTGCTTTCAAGGAACCAAACCATTAATTCGAAGGTCTACTGTCGGAAACTGGACAAATTGAATGCAGCGGTCAAGGAAAAGCGACTAGAATTGGTCAATCGTAAAGGTGTCATTTTCCATCAGGACAATGCTAGGCCGCACACGTCTTTGGCCACTCGGAAAAAATTGATGGATATTGGTTGGGAATTGATGCTACACCCATCATATAGCATTGATTTCGCGCTATCGGATTACCACTTATTTCGATTCCTGGATAACTCCTTTCGTGATAAAACTTTCAATGATGATGACGCTGTAAAATCTTACTTAAATCAATTTTTGGCCGAAAAGGATCAGAATATCTACGAGCGTGGAATTTTCAAGTTGTCAGATAGATGGCAAAGGTTATCGAACAATATGGAAAATACATCATAGATTAAAGTTCATTCCAAGTAAAAAAAAAACTCTTTCATTTCATTGAACAAATCGGCAATTATTTAGTTGCCAACCCAATATTTTGATTAGTTATAAACTTACCTCAACATTTGTCTGATTTAAGCGTAATATGATTTTCTTTAACTCTGACTTCAAATCATCAAGTTGTTCTTCTTCTCTTTGTAATAACAAGTTTGTTTTGGAAAAGCAAGATATAAACATTTGCTAAAAATAAAGTTCTGCATGTTTTATGAATATTATTAATAATACAAACATATAAAAAGTATGTATATAAATTTTATAAAATTTAATTAGACAAAATAATATAGTATATACCTGATATGAATTAGTTGGATTACTCAAAAGATCTTTATCCTATAAAAACATTATTATTGTATGATATAAAGATAAAAATCTTATTTTCAATGCAACATACTGTTACTCACCAATAGATAAGTATCAGCATCGATTTGATCTTTCAGTGGAGAGAAAATATTCTGAAATCATATAGATTGAAATGATTTCTTTTGTTTCGTCAAAAAATACTTTGTATGCATAGATAAATATATAATGGATACATATATATAGAATGAGCGATAAAATTATATCATAAATAATAAGGCAACCATGCTGAAAATTGTATATACAGTGAGTCAAAGTCATAACTGCTCTAACTGTAAATTTTAAATAATTGATTTTTTCTTATAACGCAAAACTTCTAAATTCATATACACAGACACCTATTTTAGGATTATTAAACATTTAAATTGATATACATTTTATTGTACAGATACAGATGCTTCATGTATACTTATTTCTACCACAACATATATTATTACTTCTCACTGTATACATTATTTCAATATATAATCTATTTTTTCTATTCTCAGATAAATAAAATAAAATTATTATTTCATCATTTGCTCAACATGAATACCATTAGTTACTTGTTAAAAATGCTCATGATTTAGGCATTACGTAAATTATTGGTTTTTCAATTGTGTTGTATGATAGTATCTTTACAAGCTGGTGATAAATTTCTAGTGGATTTCGTAATATTTTTGTCAATATTTCGCCGTTTGTTATTTTTATCAATTTTCGCTTTGTAAATGTTTTGCTTAGAAAAATTATCTAGATTAGTTGTTATAGTATTCTGTGACTGTGAGTTAATAATGGGTATATTCTCAGTAGTTTCTTTGTGGTGTACTAAAGTATCGAAATTATTCAATTGAAAAGATGCATGATCTTTGCATTTGACAACCTTATATAAGTGACATGGTATCATAAATTCATTGCATAAAATATTTGAGAATTTTATATTACCATTAACATTGAATTGTTGAGGGTAATTCGATACACAAGAACACGCAAACTAAAACAAAGGATTGTAAGATAAAATGCCCAAAATAAAATATAGACTGGAAGTGTACCTTCAATTTTATGAATTCCTTTCTCATTTTTTTAATAATATCATCTTTAAAATCGACAGCATAATTATATTGTTCTTTTAATTTTGCAATTTCTTGGTTCAACGATGTTATTAACTTATCTTTTTTTGTTATTTCTATGAATAATGCTTCATGTGTCTCCATAAATTCCTAGCAATAGCATACATAAATGATATAATGATAAAATTCAAAAGAGCACATGGAAAAGTAAATATAACAAACCTTTTTCAGACAATTTATTTGGCATTTTATTTCCTCAATCTCTTTATCTTTTCTTTTCAACTGAGAGTGCAAATGCGTCATATTTGTTATATTTGACTCAGTATCTTGTAAATGCTTTTGAAGTTTTTTAACTTCTAGACCATTATCAACATATTTACTTTCCACTATGTCATCGATTAAGATTGTCTGAACAGTAATAAAAGTTATAAAACTATTTTTTTTTTATCAAAAATATGTAGAAATAATACAAATGTACTAAAAGTATTAAGTTTTATAGCATTAGTTAATTTTTATATATCTAATCCTTTTAATATACAATGTGTGTGTGTGTGTGTGTGTGGCGTTGATAAACAACAGTCTCAGATAATGATGGTTTTGATTAACAACGATAATCCTTATCATCGTTAAACAAAGTACCACTATATTGTGTTTTAATATATTATATTTTAATTTCTATTTCAACATGATTGCCTATAAAATTATTAACAAACTATAACTACAAAATAAATTTATATGGACTATATATGTAAATTCCTTCAAATATGTAAAAATAATATTTTATACATGATGTATATGAAAAGAAATGCCTATATTATTGCTGTCTCAATAATTACCCCAATTAATCTTTCTATATCATGGGTTAAAAAGAAACTTACATTATCGGAATTTGTAGGAACTGATGATGATCCAACAATATGATTTGCTTGCTGAGATTTTGATATTACCTCATTAATAAGATACTGGGAATCAGAAACGTATGTTGTTACAGTTTCTTCCTTCGGTAATTTCTTATAAATCTCAGCATTTTCTTCAAATTTAATTTGATACCTGCAAGATATAATCAATATATATAATGCATTTATTTATATGATTTTAACTTACAATTAGTTAAAAAGGAAATTAAAACTTTTCATTTAATTCATTAATTATATATACTTACATATCAATATTTGTATCATCAGTTTCTTGTTCTGCAGCTTGCTATTTAAAAAATATAATTTACTCAATTTCCATTTGTTTCTATTTCGAACAAAAATGTATATAGTTACATAATAAACATTCTTTTCTATATCGAAACTAAATAAGGCTTTAATGTTTGCATTAAAAATAATCTATTTTAACTATGAATTAATACCAATTACTAGATACAAGAATGCTTATTATACAATAATTTATGATTACTGATTATTTAATTATTACTGATGAATAAATAAGAGTCGTTGTAAAAAATTATGCTTTAATTTAAATATACCTTTGAATTTATAGTGTCATCTGCATTTAGTTGGGCGCATACACAGCTGTAATAAACAATTAAAATAATAAGAAAAAAGCCTATAATAGTAAGTCATTGTTCCTTATTTATACTTACTCAAGAGGAGTAGGAATATCACTAGGATTAATATAACAGAATTTTATACCATCAAGACTCCAACAATTATTTTTTTGAGCTCTTTTAAGCAATTCTAATAATCCTTTGATATCAATCCATAGAAATTCAATACTTTGATGAAGGTACTTTTCATCATCTTCTAGTTCTTTGATGCGATTTGAGAGTACATTTAATCTCTGAAATAATATTAATATTTTTATATTTTACAAGATAATATATAAATGTATAGTAAATTACCTCCTCTGATTGATTTGATAACAAAATTTTATCCGAAACAACTTTAGACGACTGTTTCAATTTTTCTTCTAATATTTTGACTCTGTCACTAGCAGTTTGTTCCAGATCTTGTACAGTATTAACTAACATAATATTCTGTTCTCCTAAGTCCTTAATCCATTCTGTCATAATTTTCATTTTCATCTAAAATTATTTATTTTCTTATTACTTTCCATAAAATTAAGAGTATTATTTTGTTCATCTATATTTTAAATTATACTAAGAGTTTAATTTCAATTTAGTATGGAAATAAAAATTGGAATAATGAACGATATAAACAATTTTATACTGAAAAAAAAATAAAAGCATAAATTAAATAATAATTAAACTCACCGATAGACGATCGAATTCATTAGCTGATTCCGAATCGACCTTTTCAATACGAGCTTCATACAATTTACGGAATTCATTGAGAATCTGTAAGCTTTCTGTTTCGCCGCAAGTTTCTCCAGTATTTTTATCAATTGCTTTGCAAATTTGCTCATGAATTGGCAAGACAGAGAGGTTCGTAGAATCTTGAACAATGGTACTGACCGTATACATGGCACAATTGGCAAATTGTACATTAAATAGAATTATTAACACCTCAATATACTTAGAGTTAAGATCTTCTTATACCCAGAGGTGGGAGATAATGGTAATAATTCTGATGCTGTGAATAACAACAAATTAAATCGCCATTTTTTATATATGGCGCGAACAAACAACGGATGCCAAGGAAAACTTTTAAGTGTAGGTAATTGCAGGTAATAAGTAGTATATATATATAATACGCTGTAAGAATATATTTTTTTTTTAAATCGCTTTTAAATGTTATTGACCTCTTACGGGGGAAATTGTATCAAACAATCTTGATGGTAGTTAAAGCAGAAATCTTTGATACAAAAATAATATATTGTAATAGATCACATATTGAATTTAAAAGAAAACATTTATACGTTATGTTTTTATATTACAAATAGCGTTATTTTTGGTAATAATAAAAATGAATAAATTAATTATTTTAAATAATAAAATAATTTTGCTGATTCCTATGGTAAAGTAGAGAATATATCAACGACCGATAAAACCAATTTATAATTTCATTTCATTAACATCAGATAGCGCAAATGTGTTACTTTTTTATAATTAATTGTGAGTACATAACGTAATGAACCATTTAATTTCTAAAGAGAATATGATTGAAATGTTGTTTAGAAGCATTGTTAATTGTTTATCGAAGAGTTTTTAATATATATAACAATTACTATAAGATCATGAATTAAATAAATCTTGTTTGTGTTTTACATAAAACAAGAGAAACTAAAAAAGCAATAAAAAAAGAGGTTATGTTTAGCCCTTAGTGTGAAATTTTTTATCTCGATTAACCTGATAATAGTATAAGTAAACTTCCTTTTCTACTTGATGATTCAATATTTTTAGAAAAACATTTGTCTAATAAAAAATTATCTCCATATAATATTAATCACATGTATATATATATATATATATATATTGATAGATATTTGACGAAATTCGTTACGTAAAGGAATATATAATATAATGGATATATTGAAAGAGAAGTTTTGAAAATCTTAAGGAATAATAAAAAATTTGTTAATTTATTTTTATTAAAGAAATGAGTTTCGCGTGTAATTGTTGTTTAAAAAAGAATAACGCGCGCGAGAGAGAAAGAGAGAGAAAGAGAGAGGGAGAGAGAGGAGAGAGTAACGTGGTTGGAAGTTGGTCGCGATTGAATTTCAGTCGAAGCGCGCCAGGCAAAGCGAACGTGGGTCTCTCGAGTGGGTTAGCATTATTTTTTGTTCATCTTTTATTCCATCTCTTACTGCGATTGCGCACGAGGAGAGCGCGAGTTTGCTGCTGCGCGCGCATGTTCTCTCGATTCTTATATATATATTATATATATACATAATACACTTTAGAGCGGTTAATCGTGAACAAACAGCGTGCAGTATTTATTTCGTATCTTCTTCGATGATTTTTTTGAACGACGACGAAAAATAAATATAAGTAAAATTAGTGGGGCGGGGAGGGAGGGGTTGTTGTGTGAGGTGTAATGTGTTTTGCTCGTTACTCGAGATGGATGGATGCGTCGAGAGAAACGAACGAGGATTCGTGTCTTCTTCTTCTACAAAGAATTCAATAGGATGATGATGATCTTTTAGGAGCATTTTTGATGAGAAGATAAGAGATACCAATTTAAACGAGAATGGAATTTGGCAGTTACAAAGGGACCGGATCACGCGTAAGAATGCGTAGACGTGCAGAATTGGGAAGACGTTTAACGAGAAGACTCTCATTGGTTGCAAAAATGCCGGCTGCCATTCTTAACAGGACAAATCCTCCCGAACTTAGATCAATCGAGATCACTGCGATCGCGCCGGATAAAACACAACTCACGGTAAGTTTTTATATCTCTTATTTATAATTCTCTCGAGATGTATTTTATTCGCTAGTGAACACTAAGAAAAAAGGGGTCACGTGACTTTGCTATTCTTTCGCATTGTTTTTTTTTTTATTTATAACGAAAAAAACATCTCTAGTTTATCGATTGAGGAATAAATAAATCTAATTATGATCGTCAAATATATCCTCGCAATTGCATGTGAAATCAATTTGTTTACAGTACTTTCGTTATTCGTAAACATCTTTCTTATCGTACGTGTATATAATCATGTATTATATTCAATTTTATGAAACATTATAATAAATATGCACGAATATCGATTTATATACTTGTTCTTTATATAAAGTAAAAATTTATAAACGAAACTCTGGTTTTGTAATATCAGCTGGTATGGATTTGTCGCAATGACCGTCCGCCATCTTTACGTAGAAATTTTAGCGATCTATAATTTCTATTTTAATTAGAATTATTTATTTCGGACGTATAGGCTTATATATATATCTCTCTCTCTCGTAGCGTATTATTTTTATTTAGATAAATAATATAATTATGATTATTGGAGAAAAATCTGGGTAACGGGTATAAAAATTATATACGAAACATAAGTATTTGTATATAATTGAAGTAAATTACGTGATTCCTTGAAAATAAAATAGTTGAAAATAGCAGTTAATGTTATGTTAAAGTTACGTTTATAGAAAACTAGAGACAACAGGACATACGTATCGATTGAGTTTTACAGACCGGTTTCTCGGTGATATTGAAGTCATGCAGAGAGCTTTCACCGATGTTCTTACGTCATCTTTGAAGAAAGGTGACGACTCGTACCGGAGTTTAGTCGTCGCAAATATTATTCTTAAACAATCGGAAATGTGTAAAGCTTGGAATATAATTAGTCGCTGTATTATGTAAAAATCTTGTTTAAACTCATTTGATAAGATAGTACTCTTATAATGCGTATATTATCTCAATGAGATATCACATTATTTAAAATTATTAGCCAATTAAGAAATTAGGGAAATAACCCGATCATTATAATACATGAATATCTTGTTTTTTGTAATCGTGTTGGCAATATTTAATGGCACTTAAACTTGCATTAACGTGCATCATTGATTATACACAATGTATAATGTATAGCTTAAGGAATATCATTGTATCGGTGTTGCATTTTACATTTGTATTATATTGTATAGTGTAGATTCAACGGTACGGTTGACAGATTTAAACGAAGGAGAGAAACAGTGTTGCGGACAGTTACGTATAAAGTTCAAGAAAAGTTCTAAAGGTCGAAAGTGGAATGATGTTATATATGTATTTATATATATATATGTATGTATGTTTGCGTGTAAAAATGTCTAGACAATTATAGTTGAGATCCAGTTATAGTACCTTCGTTATTTGCTTATGCAATAGCGACTACAGTACTAAACATAAGGTTTCGTCGATCCCTCACAATTCAAATGTCATAGAATAAATGTTCGAAATAACCGTGATTATTTTTTGGTAAGATCACTGATTAGGCTCGCGATCCTTGACATCGTTGTTGCACTTAAAATGCTATACGAATATTATATAATATATGTAGAAGAATATTGTTTCTCAAACTTATTTCCGTGCAACTACATATATTTAATTGCATTGGTACTACGGCCCAAATATTTATAACATAACATTTTGAAGAACCTGGTCGATTAGAATCACTGCATATAATATATTTTAAAGATATAACTGTTATCGTTTCACAATATTCTTACAAACAAACAAAAACATTATAGGAAAATTTGGTCGAAATCTCTTACAAATAACTCACTAGCTTTGGTGTGTGTGTGTGAGCCAGCAACTATGGTTTTACGATCTACGAGTTGAGAAATAGCGATTTAGAATATCTATTGCGTTTGCCAATAAGTAATGTCGGAACGTTACGTATTTTTAAATAAACAACACTTAAGATAATTTTAATTAAATACATTGACTAAATACCAAACTGTTGACACAAATTATTTATTCACACAATTCGATATATATAAAATTAGAAAGGTATCATAAAAATAGAATAAACGTATAACTCTTATTTTCAATAATTGTATACTTTTAATTATAGTCAAAATATGCGTACATATCTCGATGCAATCTCGATGAAATCTCGTGTTCTACCTTCTTAGGAGTGACCTTTCTTAGCTCTCTTCCTCGAAATGCTGTTCGATAATAATACTTCGATGCTAATTCTCTTTCCGTGTAGCTCGATCACGTGTGTGCGATCTTTTCGATACGGCCGATCTTTTCGAGACATGTGCACACAAGTACGTATTTAAACATTTCTTCGAGAGAGTAATGTACTCGATTCAAAATTTGTTAGTGCGAGTTTAGTTGCGTTTTCCATTGAGTATAGTTTTTAATCTCTTGTTAGAAAGAGAGAGAGAGAGAGAGAGAGAGAGAGAGAGAGATAAAGAGAGACGATTCCATTCTCTTTTTGCACCCGCAGTTTGTAGCGTGTATATGCGATACCCCACCGATATTCGGTTCAAGAACTATCGAGCTTACGGTCTCTCGTAATGGAAACAAGCCGTACACCAATATCGAAATACGCAAGTCGTAACCTTACGCCCATGTTTCTTAACGTATTGCTGATACAGGATACGCGTTACGATTTGAACCTCGCGATTTCTGTGCCGCCGACAATGAGTCATCGTAGATATCTGCTAATTCTGATATACCACCGTTCTCCTTTCTATATGCATTATACGACCGATCCTGTTCTCACTATAATATAACATTAAAATCATTCAATTTTAAACGACCCGAAACGTATAATTCATTTTCAAACGATCGTTGGATTACCACGGGTTGGATAAATTAATGAGCAAACTTTGACTCGCTGTTTTGTTTTTTTTTTTCCAAGAGGAATAAACTGGCAAAGAAATTCGACGTTTATTAAATTTCACACATATATATATACGCCCCATTCCTATCTCGAGTTAGTTGTAATCTTAAAAACGGTTGTGTGGTTCGTCGAAATGACAATTTTATGTTTCTCGATATAATTAATGTTCCTCTTCCGTTCTTTCGTGATTCTTTCAATGCAGTCATGTTTTACGTTTTAATTAAGCGTAGATAAGTGTGTTCGAAATGTACAAAAATTCTTATTTCAAATGACGCGATGCCTTATATAATTATATTAGAATATATTTATTCAAATCAATATCTTTTTTTGTTTTTTCAAGATTTATGTTATGCACATACGTTAAATAAGTACCATCCGCTCGTATGATAGAGATCACTGCGCATATCTTCGTATGTATCGTTGCATTGTTTACCAATGACGTACCATCGAAAACGTCCTTCGATAGCTAATAATAAATTCTTCTCTTCAAGGACATCCAATTCGACATTATCGCTTAGAATTAAATCAACTTCCAAACTATTATTTCTATGTGAAATGTGTCGCCGTTGTGGAGGGGGTGGGGAGGGGGGAGGACGAAAGCTCATTCTTGAGATTTCTATTTGAAATCATATCATCTGACAATAAAATTGTATTTAAAAATGAATTATCTCTCAAGACTTCATTCGTATCGTTAATATTAAATTTATTCGATCGGATGCCTTTCTCTGCGCCAAGTATACAAAATAAATGGAAAGAGGGGGAAAATAAAATAAAATAAAATAAAATAAAATAAAATAAAAATGATTAAACGCAATAATCATAGATTCTTGTTGGAAAACTTTTGAACTAATGGATTAATGTTACATCGTAGTACTAGAAAAAGTTTTTCAAAGTGATAAGATGAACGTATTGATTTGTTTGGTTGAAAATTCTGATTGCGTTCGCATTGCAATCGCATTCGCGTTTGCGTTCGCATTGGACGGACGGCACGCATGAAAGCGCAGCCGCTTGCTTTCAATTCTATTCTCTTGGTTCTCTTTAATCCGTATTCTGTAGCGTAGTGATAATACGCTGGATCGTGTTGCGTCGTTGGCATCGGACGTGGTATTATGTTGTGCGACTATCGACAGAGTTGGAAGGCGGATTTTTATGTAAATCCATGGCGCATTTTACAAGGCCACTAGCGTTCGATGTTCATCGATCGTACGAAAAGGAAAAACGAATAATAGTAGTCGAATTATTTACTATTAATAATATTAATAATTATATTGAGAATAATTTCGAATTCTTAATATATCTTTTAGGATGGACCGATAAATAATGTTATCATTTTCTACATTAAAAATATTAGTGTTGTTTAGATCTCTGATATTTCATAATAATTCGGTTAATAAATATTTATTATGTGTGTGTTATTTATTTAAATATATAAAATATTAACAATTTGCAATTAGATAAAATACCTAGCATTATTATTTATATTGATATAAGATATCAATAATTGTTTCTTTAAATTATTCAAATATAAGATACCAAACATTTGTTCAATACAAAATTCAATAATGTCTGTTATTTGTTGAGATATAAAATACACAAAATTATCTCAATATTTCAAATATTTCATTATTTATTTATATATAAATTATCCAAAATTCTGTCATTTTTCTTACTAGTCTAGTCAATATTATTTGTTCGTCAATTATTCGAAAGATTTAATTTTTTAACGAGTCTTCTTCTGACGTGGGTCAGTATTTTTCCTTATATTCATTGACTCTTTCATACATTTTTATAAAGAAAGTTTTTTTAATATAGAATAAAATTATTTAATTTCATCAGAATGTGCGCGCTATGAAAATAAGGTAGTGTTTATTTAATGTTATTTATTTATTTATTCTTTCTCTTTTTCGAGGGAGGGGCAAGTATATTTAAACCAATCATGAAAGAGAAAACTGTAAGAACGAACAGGTAGAAATCTGACATAGGAACCCACGCATTTTTTATATTCACCATCGATGACATCAGTCGAAAAGTTTAGAAGAATATATCGTAAGATTTCTCGAAGGTTTTATTAGTAAGAAGTGTCACATTATATCGCGATTTTAAATCGTGATCTGTGACCGTTTCGGAAGTCGGCGTGCGTTGATATCATCGGGAAAAGTAGGTGGATGGGGAAAAGGAAGAAGATGACGCAGACCGAGACGTCATTTCGCTCCTAATTTTTGTGTTAATAGCATTGCGATCGCACAAATCAAGGATAATTAATTATTCGAGTCAAAAATGGATCGAATAATCCAACGATTGGAAACTTCGTTTAGAGATGTTAGATACACTATTGTTTTTCTTAGCACACAGCTTTATAGGAATTCCTGGCGAGACTGTTTCCGAGTTGAAAGGATAGTTTTCGAATCGGATGTTTAATGCATCGCGTGCATTTCGATTCGCACACCGAATGTCGATTTTTCATCATTCACGTTTGTTCTCACGAGTCGCGAGATTAGTTGCATAGGACGTCTGTATAAAATGTTTTCTATAAATTGATGTAGATCTTTGATCATTTTTACAAAATTCTTTTTTTAATTTCTTTTAATATCAACAGCTTGAATAAAAATTCTTTTTTATATTTGATCAACCTATCAAATATAAACAATTTTAAATAGTTCTTTGCAATTTTTTTGAACACCTTCAAGGTATCTGATTCTGAAACCTATTTGATTCAACTATACATGCGTTAAATGAATATTATTAAAACATGAGTTTATAATATCTTATGAAAAACTATGATTAAATATCCTCATAATTATTTAGATTCAAATTAATATAATGACAGACAATAACAAAAATAATAGGATAAATGTATCATCGTGTGAAAGTAAAGAAATAAACATATACCATCGATAATCGTAAGGAGCACAATTAGAAGTAAGCATTATCTTATTAGACCTTTCTCGACGAACTGAATTCCCGCGTGTAATTAATCGTAACGTCGAAATAACCCCGGTCGCTCCTCCTTTCGGCCGGACGATATAGTCTGCCTCTGCTTTGATAGATGTAACGATGTTCCTCATTGTCTTGTAATGAGATTGGGAGCGACAGGATGCTGCTCTTATGTATACTCTTCTAACGGTCTTTAACAAAAGTTATATTTTTCTTTTTTTTCTACAATCAAAGGCAGAAAATACTCAATTCGGTTTAAATAATACATAAAACAATTTTTCTATTACAATGAAACAATATTTCTAACTACAATTTTGTACGTCAAGTCATTTAAAAAAAGGTAATACGTGGTATGTTTATTCATAAAGATAAAATTGATATTAAACAAACCGTTTTTAAACGATTACAATTTGAACATTTTTTTGTAATAGTTTTTATAATTTTGTCTGTAAACAATGTGTCTACATGTATTCTGACGAATATTTCTTTTCAGTTATCTGCTTCGTCTCCGGGAGCAATCTCTCCTATTGTCGCACCCGTTCTTTTAAAATATCGAGTATGCAAGCCAAAATTATTACTCGCCGGTTCAAGAGCCGAAATCGATCCAGCAGCCGACGTGGCACTTCTTCATGGAGAAATTCTGCTGATTGAAGATGCAGCAAGGCAATACGATCCCCGTGGTGGTGAGTATTTATGATAATGTATTTTATACGAGGAAACGTATCTCAAGATTGATTAATACGGTTCTCAAATGTTCATAAGATAAACAAAATGCCAATCTCTTAATCATATCTATATACAGGGTGATAAAATAAAGGGTTCGAAACTTAGACGGTTTATTGTACTAATTAATTGCGAGAGAGAATTAAAAATGTTCTAGCATTGATCCTAATAATTAACCCTCTTTACGTAAAATCAATGTTAATAACGAATGGTTGTAAAAAATTAATCGAAATATTAAAAGAAATAATAGCGTTTAGGAGGCACGTGTCGAATCCGATGTGACGACCGACCTGCAACTGTCTCGAATAGTTTACATTTCGGAGAAAAAAGTAAACAATGAATAATGATAAAAGTAGGGATAAAAGTAGGGATAAACATAATTCGATCTTGAAAGTAAGTCGGTAACGATTATTTACAAAATTTCTTTTCGGTTGCGGTCTTGCCGGAGGCAGTCTAACGATAAGACGTGCCCCAACGAATTTATTGTTTTATCGTATAAATTTGTATTTTTTAAATATTTTAAAATATTTTACACAGGATGATCAATAAATAATTGCCGAATGAACGAGTATTTACCAAAATTATTTTTTTTTTTTCAAAATTAAATAATTTTCTATTTTTTCAGTGAATCGAATTTCGTTAATTTTGCAAACGAATTTATTCCTCCTTAAACAAAAAATGTATTATATTTTTGTCTTAAAACTTATATGAAACATAGAAACAGTCATTTATGTTTATCGATATTATTAATATATTTAAAAAGAGCACACCAACACATTCATTCCACGATTCTCTCACATACGGCCGAGGTTGGAAAGCCTAATCTAGAGAGTATGCTCCTGAATACTTTCGACAATACATCTACCTAACACGCACACACAAGTATAAAGTAAATCGTGCAATCATTAGCACAATGATAGTTGCCAAGGGGGGGGGGATAAGCTTAAAAATAAACTTATACTAACTGTTTTTCGCTCATACAAGAAACTCCTGGGAAATATATTCGTCAATAATTTATTGAAATAATTACGACCAGTAACTCATGCCGATTAAGACCTTTTAACCTCGGCATGATTGAACACCGGAGGTGCTCTAAAATATATTTACAACTTCAAGAATTTCTGCAATGGCTCCAAAATGTACCTAGAAGTTGAGTTCCACTTATTTGAAAAGGAAAAAAATTCGTTGTCGTATTTTATTCAAAATGATGTAAAAATAATGTAAAAAGAAAATGAATACTTAGAATGTATTCCAATATTAAAGTAAAATTATAAACTATTGCGCTTTTGCAGATATCGATCGAAGGTACAGAATTACGGAGAAGCTTATGCACGCTGAGGAGGATTATCGAGAGACTTTGTGCAGCGCGAAAGAACTTTATGCCCGACCACTCGCTCGAACTTATCCCGAATTTCGCGACGTCATTTTCCAACCACTTGCCGATCTTTCAAGAGTCAGTAGCGAGCACTGTCAAAGGGTGAGCCAACTCTGTGTTATGTTATAATATTTCGTCGGCACGATATTACGACACAAGTACGATGCCGGTGACCTTTTTGGCTCGATTCCAAATCTTATACATGCTATTCTAGCATAGAGAAAGATATATTGTTTGTAAAAAAAAACATGGTATATACCAATTGAAGTTTCTTTATGCGAAAAAACATTTCACAATTTCGAAATAGATTACGAATCAATTAATAAATGATTTCAATTGTTTTGGCGCTATGCGTTTCGAACTTTACAGCAAATCTATCGAGCCATTTTGCTAATGATTTTTAATACATTTGAAATACTGATTTAAACAATTTGAAGGATTACCATGTTAAAGGATATAATTCTTAATTTGGTGCTATTATCAGGTTCTCTAACATAATTATATCTTTATAGTAAAGGACATTATAAGATGCATAAGCTACATATATATATGTTTGTGAGATACGAATCTTGAAAATAATAAGAATATCCTCCGTCATGTGCTATTGTAGATTCTCATGCTACATAGATATTCGTAATTTCATAATTATCAACGGAACGTACTTATGTACTATACGCGCGTGCTCATCCGTCTGCAAAGTTATTATAGTACCGAGTCGTTATGAAACGAAATATGTACTTTATAAGATATTTTTAGAAGTACTATAGTACAGTTCATTATTTAGAACGGTTAGTATAATCCTGGTAATATATAGCACATGCACTCACTTTCAAGGACCGTCTATATAAAAAAGATACATAAAGGAGACAGAAACGGTATGAAACATATTTAGCTATTACTGGTTTTCTAGTTGTTAATATTGAAATTAACAATGAAAATATGAGAGGGATAAAACAATTCGTATATAATTTATTTTATCGATTCGTTTTCAATAATATTAACGAGAAATTCAAATTTGTATTATTGTTTTGGTTTGCTTTTTTCTTTTTTCTTTTTTTAATTTTACCTTCACTTTATTTCGTTATCATACGAGCATTCTCAATACGAAGTAGCATAATTCCGAACACACCCACCAGATTACTTTTTATCGATGCGCGGTGATTCATTGTAAGATACGTTGCTTGTATAAGAGATGGCGACACTTTACTGGTGATTCAGTATACGTATAGATATTTGATTTGGTTCCCAACTATTTAAATTTTAATGAGAAAAGAAATAAGAATAAGTTTATATTTTTTTTAACTGAGAACTCTTTTTATCCTGATTATAAAATTTATGTTTGATAATTCATATTATAAGCATATATAATACGTTATTTATATATACAATCACTGCATTTGCTAGGTATATTAAGAACGTAATGTTTTGGTTGCATAAAAAATTACAAATTAATGTAAATATCCAATTAATTTCCATTTTTTTTTAGTTTTATAATATTTAAATAAATTAACAAGAAATTAAAACGAGAAAACTTTGTTTTTTATATTTCTTCGAATCAACGTCGGACTTGTCATGTATTACACATGGATTTTCAAACTTATTTCTTGGTCATTGTATTTTAAGAATCTATTTTATTATGTATCTGTGTATTTTTTTTTCAGATACGCAGAGTACTCGAGAATTGGGATGCTAGTACTTTCAAACAGAGTGAGTATGTAAAATGCTTGAAAAAATCTTCGTAACATATTTGAAATTTGTTAATAATCAATTAGGATTTTTAATAGGTGATTTATTTCCAAATTCCTTTTGGAAGTCTTATTGGGAATATTTGGAAAGTTATGGTGAGGCCAGAAGAACCCTAGAGGAATTGAAAGCTTCTGAGGACACCCTGATACACTTTCTTACTTTGAGACAAGCTGCAGCGAGACATTCGCCTTTGTCTTTGCTTCTTTTACCGGTGAGTCGATTATTTTTTAATAGAACTAAAAGATTTGTCGCATTATTATCGAGACCTTTACTTTAATTTCCAATAAATGGTCTGAAATACTTTGGCAATTGAAATAGAATGAAGACTTCTAATGGTAAGGTATATTACATGATTGGTTTTGATAAGGTACGCAAAACGCATCAATGTTGTACATGTTAATGATTTTGGTTTTTCGATTTGGATTAATGAAAATATAGTTGAAAACATGGCATTCGATTGAAAAGATATCATTTAGATCCATCATCGATCCATCGAAAGTATCCAGATCGATATTCGTTGACTGAAAGAGGAATCTTTTCTTGTGAATGTGAGAAGAGGGTAACAGCCTCGCTTGCGCACGCGCACGCAGTTGCAAAAAGATTGGCGCGTGAACGTGAAACCCCCAGGCGAAGTAAGTCCTGATCGCCATGGTAACCGCGGATGTGGCGGGGAAGATTAAGGGTACTCGGGAATGGTCGGTCAGAGTCGTCGACATTCGGATTTGTTCGGCTTAGCGAGGCCAACCGGTCGAATAGCGCATAGTGTTTGAGCGAGCAGTTCGGTTCCGACCACGTTACATGTTGGGTCTATTGTTTCTCCTTTCGATAACTTTTCATTTCTCTTGATCTTCACATACGCCATCGTAATTCTTACACATTTTCACATTAATATTAATCTCCATAAGAGATAATATAAGAAGCGAGGTTATTTTCGAGATAGATAGACGAATACGATTTTCATTTTCGCTTTTTTCATTATTCGCGTGTGTACGACGCGTCTGTGCGCAACAGGTCGCCGACAACAGGTCGCCTGAGTGAGATGATGGTGGTGTATTAGTGTGAACGTATACTCGTTCTTTTAACGCGTGTTGCAAGGTATGGATATGCTACCGGAAAAACATTCTAGGATAAGATAATAGTTCCTCGTTGAGGAGGAGGAGATGCCTCGATCGCTTTTTTGACAGAGTTTAATACGACAAAATTGCGAAAAAACAGGAAGATCGAAGAAAAATAAAAGAGGAAAGTAAAGAAAGATAGATAATAATTGGTCGCGCAAGGGAGAGCGGGAAGTGAGAAAGAGTGAGTGGGAGAGGGAGAGGGAGAGAAAGATCCTTTGGATTCCCGAGCAAGGTCTTCGAAGGTCGAACGATGACCATGTTCGGTAGCCTCGTGCAGAGGCTGACCTCACCCGTGACCTCACCGACGAGTCCGAGACGTCGCTTTAAATCCCCGTCAAGGTGGGAGGTTCAGAGCGATCCCGAGGATGTTGATTCTGCTGCACCGGCCAGGAAGTCAAGAGCGAAACATTTGTTGGATAAGCGCAAGAGCAAGAGCAGGTCGAGAGGATTGAACAACAGCAGCGATGGTTCGACCAGTAGCGGCGCTGCTGCTGGAGCACAGTCGGTTGGTTTTTCAGGCGGGGGGGACGTCGCCGTCGGCTGGCAGGACGTCGCCTTTCCACCGCTCCGTGGCACCAAGAGCCTCGGCAGGCTCGACGGTATGAAAGAGGTGAGAAACCTTGCGACTCTAGTTCCTATTTTATCGACAAATCTTACCCTCTACCCTATCTTGTCCCTACCCCTATGTTAGTAGACTACATCGGTTCCAACGATTATTTCTCTGGACCTTCCTAGAATCCTCTTTGCGAAGGCATCTAGATAGAAATCTATTCGAGATAGATAGATGAACGAAAGAAACCTTGGCTAAATAACTTTCCTATGACACATATTCCTTTAAGTTCCTACGAAATGCAGTACTTGCAAGACAGATTCAATCGATGAAAAATCTCCTATCAAATTTACAAATTTCATTTATATGTGCGAGTATTGTTATTAGCTGTTATTATACACATTATGTAATATAATTTCTACTTTAATAAGACTTATATTATCCAATGATAATTAATTTCAATGACGGTAGTCTTCATTATTCAAAATTTCTTTACTAGATTTCCGAAGTAATCGTTAAGAAAATAATTAATCACTATATAAGTGTAATCTACTTTCTGTCAATTCTAACGAAAAAGAGATCGAAGAGTGATCTTTCTTTATTTCTTGTTTCGATTCCTTTTTTTTTTTCTTTATGTTGAGAGAACTTGGATAAGACGAAGATTGACGAGACTTTCTCTCGATCATCTTTTAACGACTCTCTACCATCTTTTCTCTTCGTACCTATCCACTCTCTCTCTTCCCTCTCTTTCTCTCTCTTCTCTCTTTCTCTCAAGTTTTATCTCGCAACTTATGCTTGTTCGGCCGGTGGACCTATTGGAATTATCTTATCGTGATCGAGGTTTGCGCGATGTACTAACTCACATTTTGGTGTACGCATGTTTTAACACGAGTTCGTTCCCCGTGCGAAAGCATGCTAAACGTGCTAAAAGTTTCGTATTCAAGGCCTTTCTCTCCGAAGTCTTTAAATTTTCATATCCTCACGAATAGAGAAAGCTTAACTGCGATGTTACTTTTATAATATATATAGAGAGAATCATTTTGATGTCTTTATTTATTATTATATTTATATTAATTAGAAAAAAAATATTGAAAGTTTCATTCTCGTTTAATTTCAAGATTACCTTGTTTTGTTAATAAGCGATATTATTGATGATATACGATATATGTATATGTAATCATTTCTATGTGTAGTTATATGTATTACATATGCATCTAAAGAGAGTGCATCCGGTCGGTAGTAGATAAATCTTGTGATGATGTTGCAGCTATTTGTGCCAGATGGTCTGGCTCTCATTCTCATTCTCTTTCTCTTTCTCTCTGGATCGATCAATGGATCGATGGATCGTCGATCGATAGGGCTTCGAGTCAGCGGGTAGTCGGATCGTGTCATAGTCATATGATCGTTACCTCCTTCAATGCATCATGCTATTTTACCCACTCCTATCACATTTGAATTTATTCAAGCGACATGCGGGTGGTATTTTATGCGATGTAAGCAGTAAGGGCTCGTCATATTGTTAGACGAGCTTGTTAAAATCATTCAACGCGAGGATATGTAATGCAAACAGAACATATTCAATTGCTATGTGACAATGTTAGTTTAGACGCGACCATAGAATATGCTTTGTTTTTTGTCGCGTTAATGGGGGTAGGGTGATTTCATGCGAGGATATTCTTATCTTCGTGCGAAATTGGCCATACGCAGAATATATAATATTATTTTTAATTCTTATAAGTGTATCCCCTTGTGACACCGGTCTACGGTTGAATTTACGCGATAATAATACCCGTATGATATGTGTTAAATACTAAATTACATATAAATCGATAGAAACTCGAACACAACTATTCCCCCGTAAATACTGCATGAAGATAATAATTTCGTATATTCCGAGAACTTTCTTTTGTATGCGATTGACAAGCAAAATTTGAAAGTAAATTACATTTCAACGCGGGAGCTACGGTATCGCTCAATTCAAAGATTTTTTAATAAAAATGATCGATGATACGTGGCAATACAGACTTTATATTTCACATAAATGTAGCAGAGAGGAGAGTACTAAATCGCCAGTTTTCATAAGTGGAAGGTTCGTCGATGAAGCGAAGCAGAGAAAGTTACCTTGTTTTTTTATGCGCAAAGTGTTGTGTATATATGCGGACGATTAAATATGTTTTTCTTTCTTTTTTTTCTATCGAGAGAATTGTATTTCCTGTACCGCGATTTTTTTTTTATTTATCCCGATTCAATTAGCAATACAATACCGTTACATATATAATATTTAATTCCCGTATGTTTCATGTATTATTGTGTCATAATATTTTAAATCTCATTGGATTCGTATCCTCGTACGCGAAACCAATTAAAAATTACTCAGAAAATTCATGCACTTACGTAAAACATTCGTTCAAGAAAGAGATGTAAGATTATTTAAAAATATTTTCTCTTTAGTTTCATGTTCATTATTATAATAAATGTTATCTGAAACCTTTGGGATCGTATAACACGTAAACGAAATGTCGGAGAACATGAGGGTTGCTTGAGAAAAAAAAATGATCCTTTCTATTATATGAGGCCCATCGTTCTTTAAATTTTAGTTCTAGGGGTTCTGAATCATCCTGTATATAAAGACACGAGAGAATACGTTTATACATAATATAAGTGATAGACAGAAGAAGAACGGAGGGGGATGGAGGTTGTGGAGAAAGGATTGGCTCGTAACGCGATTAGTTATACATTCGTGTGAGTGCTCGTAAAACGAGATTCCTCTCTACGAGCCGTAATCTGTCCTACGTGATGTCTCTCATCTTTGTCGTCTGACTGTAGTCATTGATTCGGCCAAGTCACACCCACGCGCCTTATTCAAATATTAATCTTGAGAGTATAAGTGTATATGTATACGTATTTATACACGAGCATAAAGATTTGCAACAAGAGCACGAGAAAGGAATCATACGTTTGGACCCGGAGGATAATTCAAACCCTAAAAACCCATTGGTCATTGACCACTTATTTTTGTTACCTTCCAAACCGATAACACATTTTTTTCCTTCTCCGTTTTTCTTTATCGCGAAATATAAAACTTGTGAACGCCGTTGCAATTAACACACGTGTTAAAATGCATAACGTCAGCATTTCAAAAGTTTTCAATTTTTTATTTTTTTTTTTTAATCTACGTTACGATCATAAACGGATTATTTTTCTATTGGATTTCTTAAAAATATATAGTATCGATAATTATTTTGCCATTAATAATCCTTTGAGTTTATCTTCAAAAAATAATTATTGTGACAAATATACAGAGCCCTGAATACCGATTCATTTTTCATGGAAAAAGTCATTTAACACCGTCCACGCGTTCCGAGAATAGCGATGCAGCTACCGTTTTGATATCACAAGCTATAACAATATATCATCGGGCTAAGTGTAAGCGTATTAAATACAAAAGGTATCTTTACTATATCGTTAAATTAAATGTAGAGAGATGTATTATGATTTGGAATAGGTAACAAGAAGAGAATCCCATGGATCAAGCTGAAAATA